ATTCAACTTTGTCGTTGGGAAAATATTTAATATATGAAAATTCATATTGTTTATTTTACTTATATATAAGATGACAGGTACCCTTATCAACTATAGCATTTTATCAACAAATTGAAACCATCTTTCTTTGTTGACAAAAAAATATTGAGAATAATCATACTATAAAGAAAAAAAGCACTGCATAAATCTTTTATATATATATATATATATATATATATATATATATATATATATATATATATATATATATATATATATATATATATATGACTGCCGTCATGAGAAAAGGGCCCTTATCTTTTGACGTCACAATGCTCAGAAAACGACGTCAAAGTCGCGGTATTGTAAACACGGAACACTGTAAATTTTGTTGACTGCGTTTTTGTAGAAATACACGTGTAGAGAGAATGAAATAAAACTGGATTTCCTGGCTTGAAAAAAAAAATTAAAATCATACGAATTTCGAAGCGGAAAATTTTAATAAATAAAATTTTTACCATTTAGTACATGTATTTATTCAGGTTTCTGTGTAAATATTCTGTATAACATAATCCAAACGTTATGTTGAACACATTATCAGATAGAGCGATTAAAAGCGACGTCTATATATGATGCAAGGCTACAGATATACTAGTATATATATATTTTTTCTTTTTTCTTTTGACTGAGCTATTTGAAAATGCTTATATTCGACTTATACATTGATGCATTAATTATTCTTAGTACTGATAGGTAGTTAGTACATGCATTTATATTTTTTTCAGAGGGAGAGAGGGGGGACACTCAATGCACATACACATGTACGCGTTGTTTAAAAGTAAAAATGCTTCTTTCATTTTGAAAAATATATATTGTAATAATGTTATGACATATTTTATTTTTATTCCATTGCTCATCACATTAATGTGCGCAGTTAGACCAGTTCAAGTGTGTGGCGTCGTTTTCCAAGTGGAGATGGGGGGGGGGGGTTTATAATTAACAAACCTAAAAAGTCTCCAAAGGTATAGATACTGTAATATGGGAAATTTGATGTTCCTATCACAACAATGGAAGGTGTGTGTATGCGGCAAAAGGCCTTTTATAAATAATTAACACCATGAGAATATTCTCCAGGAAAAATTGGGGGGGGGGTTCCCTTTCCCCTTTGATTATACTGCCTAAGGATCAAAGAAAAGTGATGTGCGTATGTCTCTGGTAAATATGTAAATTTTGAAATCGGGCATAATAAACATGTGTACATAGCATAAAAACTTGCACTATCGAATGTTTTCAAAGTTTTTTGTGTCTTTTCCACATTATTTTCGAATTCATTGTATACTTGTACATGTAAGAAAGCTCAAATCGAGAACTAATAAACAGTGAAATTACACGATCCCGAAAAACAATAAAGCATGCACAAATTGCTGATAACTTTCATAATACGAAGTATTTGCTGTAACAAAAGTTGAAGTACACTGTTATCATAAATATCGAAAAAAGTATTATTCTTTGATAACAATTACCTTTTTCTATTTTGTTTAATTTGTTCTGATGAAAGTCAGCTTGAAATTAATTGAACTTGCATTTTGTTTAGGAATTAAGTGCAGTTAAGGTGGACCCCCCCCCCCCCCCCCTGTATGAAACAGAAGAAACAATAGATTAGGTTTTCAAGAAATTTACCTCGGATAAATGGCGATATGACGACAACCTTTGGTAGAAATAGAAAAAGTACTAGTAACAAGCTTAAGTGGTCGTGGGTTTCATTCAAAATGATATAAAAATTCTCAAATTGTCAATTTTAACATCAACCGCAAGCTCAACAAAGACAATCAACAGCGGCAGATCCAGAAATTTCATAACAGGGGGCGCAGTAGAAGACAGGGGCTCTGGGGTCTGCATTGAAGCCTCAAGCGGATGCAGAGCAAGGCCCTGCTGGGGTCCGGGGGCGAATCCCCCGGAAACTGACGAATTCTAACAAATAAGAGGTGTTTTTCCCTTGATTTTAGGATAATACAAACAATTTTTTTATTTAAAAATTCAAACGGGGGGGGGGGGGTGCACGCCCGGCGCTGGATCCGCCTTTGATCATGAAATCTATATCATTGGAAAAATAAAAAAAAAAATAATAAAAGAACCGGTAATGATTTGAGCGAAAAAGGAGACGGGTTTTCACATACAACTTTGTAGCTGCTGATCTGAAGCTCGTTGATCTGCACAAAGAAATTAGAATAGACAACCGGAGAGTTACAAGACGAACTATTGAAAATATAGCTTTATATTTGTTTCTTTCTGTGTACTACTATATTTCATTTGCCAGCTCAAAATATTGCGAACGATGAATTCCTAGCATGCATTCTACTTTTATTTCATGATCGTCTGAGAAATATGAGGATTTATTCAGTCAAGAAAAATCATATTTCCCGAGTCGAATTCGTTGACAAAAAGCATGACGACGACAGGGATATATAAAAATTTATGGCCTTGTCACTTGGCTGTCTGAAACCAATCAGATAACGCTTATATAGAACAATTATAATGAGGTTTAAATAATAAATTCTGTTGCTTCTTCTTTTAAAACTTTGATGCCTGTGAAATATGTAAGGAAGAATTTGATTTTTGTGAATAAATGAAATTAAGAAATGGATTAAAAAATACACACACACACGCGCACACCTTTCAGCGTTTATTAGCTAAAACATTACAGGTGATTGCCGACTATTTTTCTATGTTCGGCAGGTAAGAATTAATATATGATCGGATTTAGAAATATTTATTACAAAACTTCATTTTGAGATTACAGTAGCGGCCATTTTACAAATGTTTGATTTATTGTGTACAAATGTTAGTAACGTCGAGAAGAGGAAAATATTTGAAATTTCACAATAATTAAAGATATCATAGGTAAAAAAAAAAAAAAAGAAAAGAAAGAAAGAAAATAAAGGACAGAGGCATTTATAACAGCTTTTGATATCATATGATTTACTTAAAGAGAAATAAGTTGACAAACGTATTAATTTTCATACACGGGCTAAACTTTTATGAGACAATCCTAAGACCTGATTTTGTGCTTCTATTTTCTGTTTCTACTCCATCAGTAAGGCAGGCGCAGAAACAAAATTGTATGAACAATGAAAATTCAATTTCTTTTTCAGCGTATACAAAAGAAAATGCGCTTGGAATTTTAAATAGAAAACAAATATTTTGATATATGATTTTCATGTACTACGGATAAACCTTTTTGGAAACAATTTTACATATCATGACGTGATATTTGTCCATTAGAATTCATCTCTGATACAGAGAATACGCGAGGTTTTGTTTGGGTTGGATCTTCCCTTACTCCAGAATGTGTAGATTTTTTTTATATTTTAATGTACAGGTGCTTTATATATTCTTTAATTGAGCTAGAATAGAATGCCTAGTATGGAATTGTACAGTACATGCATTTTATTTTCGAATGAACATAATCCGTTTCTAGAGCCTGTCTAGCCCCCCCCCCCCCTCTCCTTTTCCCATGTGACTGGATCTGTAGAACAAAGGCAACTTCAGGGTTTATATTGACAGACTAGTAACTTGGAAGAAGAAATCAAATATCGGCTAGAGTTTATATGTATTATTAAGTTTATTTGAATAATTTAAAACCGAATTTAACGCTTGCGACGTCATTACGTCTTCATGGAATAACGTCAACGTTGTTTTGATGCGCCTTACTAAAATGGTCATAAAACAGTGAAAAAATGAGATATTTTTAAAGGTAATGTATTTTTGCATTCAGAAAGAGTCAGACTATCAAAATTTACCAAAAAGTCATTTTGTGAAATTTTGACCTTAAGGGCCCTTTTCTCATGACGGCAGTCATATATATATATATATATATATATATATATATATATATATATATATATATATATATATTAGGGATGTCAATTTTACTGGACAGGTTAGTCGAATAGTCGGAGGCTTTAGTCGAACGATAGTCGAGTACTCGTTGAAATTAATTTATCCTTTCTTTTCATACTACTAGTACATGTACCCGTTATTGATTTCTTACCTGAAGCCATTTGAATGTGTCTCGTCAATGACTCGTGATTGTTAAACAATTAAAGCGCAACTCTTATAAAAACAAAGAGAGCTTGCAATAAATTTTAATTATGAGATTTTTTGCAAACAATGAATACAATTTTAGAATGATTGATATTAATATCAGAAAGAAAACCTTTCAATTACGGTCATAACTGTCCCCCGATTTCCATGTATTTACAAATTTGTAACTGCTGTTTAATTATTCTTCATGAATTGATAATTGCATTATTCGAGATCTTACGGAATTGCAGGTTGAAACTTTAAAATATGGATCTGACATCTTTTAAAGCATGTCAGTGCATGTTTGCCAAACAAACAAATTCCTGTTGTACTCACGAGAACACTGAACCTGATACGTTAATAAATGAAGTCAGTTCCATTTTTACCCTTAATTTTTAACGAATAACCTACTAAAAATATTTTAATCGAAAGTCGGTATGGTCGAACGATAGTCGAGTACTCGAATATTCGTTGACATCCCTAATAAATAAATAAATATATATATATATATATATATATATATATATATATATATATATATATATATATATATATATATATATATATATATATATATAAAATACAAAAATATTTTCAACAGATTCTCGTACCAAGCTATCAGTAAAAATGTTTCAAATGCATTGTACACATTTTAACGTGTGTACACATGCACTGTACAAATTTCTGAAATTCTTGTTTACTTGATAAAGCTTCATGAGCTGAGACTTGTCATTATATATTGTCTACATATTGATTTATATCGATATACTTATATGAATGGCTGCTCAATACACACCCAAGTATATGGACTTGACCAGTTTGTGTAGATCGCGTATTTACTAAGAATACGTAAGGTAACATCATTTGGCGTCACACAGGTAAATTGAGAGTGGGAATGTTATTTAAATGTTTTCAAAATAAGGTCAGGTGTCCAGGCCATGTTTATGTTCACCAGTCCGGTCACTCAAGCATACATTAATGAACCACATATCTTAAAAGACAAACAAGGATATGCTGGCTCTGTTGATTATGTGAAGTCAGGTAAGTCAGTTTCTTATATATATACTGGTACCCTGTCAAGCGAAAAGCAAGTCCCTAATTTAGGTAAGTAAAATCAAATTTACATGGTAAAAAAATGCAATGGTCATCAAACATATGACAGAGAACACTCAGAAATGTTGCTATTTAAGCATGGAAGGTATTATTAAAATACAGAGAAAATGCAAGTCTGGTAAAAAAAAGAAGAAGTAAATTATACCTTCTCAAGGTTGGCAGACATTTAGAATAGCGGGTTTTTAATTAAAAAGACAAGTCATATACTAATAGCCATTCAATGTGTGCATTATAAATATTGCTTATATATAAATCAATCCTGTAATGCATAAGCAGGAAGAAACCAGGGCACTCTGCGAGCATTCTACTATAGTTGCAGAAACAATAAGTGATCGATATAGGGTGAGGTCAATCATAAAATGAAATTTCTTTTTCTAAACATACCTTGCCAATGAAGGATTTCATATGCATTGCAGATTCAAATTTGGATTATTAACACCTGTTGCTTGAATAATTTGTTCTTTATAACTGTGTTCGGAAAGCTTTAATCTAATGCAATAGCTGTAAAATGAAGATCACATGCAGATTTAAGAATACCCTAATGCAACATATATGCTAGTGTGGTCATTGTTAGGCCTGTAATCTATTGTAAGTGGACTTGTACTATTTCTAAGTCTATCTTTCATCTGGTAAAACAGATAAAATTGCAACAAATGTTCACCATGTAAGCGTAACATAAATATATTTTTGAGCCCCTCATGGCTCCTTTGGGTAGTAGAGATAGAAAATCCGAAATCTTATCCCACAGATACATGACAAAGTCAATCAGATGAAACAAATACAATTGCTACCGCTTAGTCAACAGGAATTAAACGGCCATTTACAAGCAAAAAGAATTTTTACTAAACTTTAAAAATATAGGGAGTGTTGGCAAGAATAGAGTCCACTAATGTAAGTAACCAAACTTTCTTTAATTCGTATACAGTGAATACAGATCAATCGGAAGCTGAAAGGATAGCAAACACCAACATATGTGCATTTCCTCCTTTAAATGCAAGTCTGCAGCATACAATTATAACATTTGCGGATCTAGGAATTTTTCCCGGGGGAGGGGGGGGGGGGGGTCAACACCAACTCAGCAACTGAAAACAAAAAAACATCTGACTACAAAACTTTTTGACAAGCACAAAAAAAATCTTGAAATTGAAATAGGTCTGGGGTTGATAGAGGTTGAAAAGTCTTGGGCTGAGGAAGAGGGACATATCATGTTTAGATTGAACTCAATGATTTCTGCCAAACTTTGGCCGTTTCACAAAGCTAATATATTTAGATTTTTTCAGAGTTTTAAGAAAGAAGCCATCATGTCAAGACTTTTTGTAGAGTCTGTCGACGAATGTCCACCCATAGAAGGAATCATCGAAGGTACATATTTAACATTGCTGCCATTAAATGTCAGTTCAGTGCACCCTGCTTTTCTCCTATTAATTCTGGTTTAACTCAGGTAGGGTACCTTCCTGGATCAAGGGCACTTTATTCAGAAATGGGCCAGGACTATACGAGTTTGGGAAATATAAGATGAACCACATGTTCGATGGAATGGCAGCGGTACAAAGATGGACGTTCCATGAAGGAAAAATCACATATCAACGGAAATTCGTCAATAGTCAAGCGTTTCAAAGAAACCAAAGTGCAAACCGTATAGTTTTCTCGGAATTTGGTACACACAAGGTTCCAGATCCTTGCCTGAATATATTTCAAAGGTATTCATTGTTTGTTTATAATTCTGCAAAAAAGAAATAAGTAGGAAACGATAGCATATTTGTACTAATTCCCTAGCGACCCCAGCAATTTTTAGAGGCTACTACAATGCACTCCGAGAATATTCTCTAGGACTATAAACCTTAGGTACTTGTTTCTATAATCAAAGTATATACATATTGTATATTATTATTATACACTATGGACTAAACTTTTTTAGAAATAAGTGCCTGTGCTTTATACCCAGTCGTAGGAATGACCATAATAAGTTTTTTTTTATGCCCCCGTAATCGAAAATTCGGCGGTATATAGCTTTTGCCCTGTCTGTACGTCTGTCTGTCACTTTGTCCGCAAAAACTTTAACATTGCCCATAACTTTTGATTGGTTGGAGCTATGGCTTTCATATTTCACATGTGTATTCCTTGTGACAAGACATTTCTTTGGGTACCATCATATTTGACCTTTTGACCTTGGAGTTTGACCCAGTTTTGCAAAATTTTACCCAACTTTAACCTTGGCCATAACTTTTGAACAATTGGTGCTAGGGCTTTCATACTTCACATGTGTAATCCGTCTGACAATACCTTCCTTTGGATACCAACAACTTTGACTTTTTGACCTTGACCTAGGAGTTTGACCTACTTTTGAACGGTTGGTTCTATAATTTTATACTTTACATATGTAATCCTTGTGACAAGACTTTTCTTTGGATATCAACAACTTTGACCCTTTGACCTTGACCATGAAATTAACCCAGAAACACTGGAGACTCTGCAAACAGGATAATTATAATTTTCTTCCTTTTTCTTTGATGTATGAAATATTATCATTAAAACAAATAGGTATTTTTATTAGTATATTCTTCAAATGAAAAGAAAAATTCACAGAGATCCTTTCATGTTTCAGATTTTTTTCGTGCTTCACACCTGATGAGGAAACAGATAACACCTGTGTCACAGTCTGGCCTCAAGAAGACAGGGTTTTTGTTTCCACGGAAACGGTCAAAATTCATGAAATTAACCCAGAAACACTGGAGACTCTGCAAACAGTATAATTATAATCTGTTCTTCTTTTTTCTTTGATGTAAGAAATATTATATGTTTTGTCCTCCCCAGAAGTAGAAATGTTTCATCTTTCTGTACATAGGTAAATTTGTCCGACTTTTTGACCATAAACACAGCCACAGCACACACACATTGGGACAACGATGGCACTGTACATCATTTTGGTTTCTGGTTCAAAGGAAAAGACCCAAAGTACACCTTATTCAAAATTCCACCAAAAGCAGGTGATTATGAAATTACCATTCCATTTGTATCACAGGGGCCATTTGCCTCATGTAACATACCCCTTTATGTCTTCTACAGAGGAATATATCAATAGCGTTTGTGTTCCCTGATGTCATTTGCTCAGAAACTAAAATAGCACGAATTAATCTCTGGAGTAAAAAAAATTAAACAAAAAACTTTTGCAGACGTAAAGGACGCATATTCTAATATCGACATTGTTGGGTCTGTGCCTAGCAGATGGAGGTTACACCCCGGCTATGTCCACAGTTTTGGAATCACGGAAGACTTCTACGTCTTTGTGGAGCAGCCCCTTGTGTACGACGTTTTGAAGTTTGCGACTATGAACGTAACCAAGACAAGAATTGAAGAAAATTTGACATGGTTTCCAAAAGAAAATGTAGGTCCAAGTTATATAATATAAATGTTAAGTATTTGAATGTAAACTGGGCTTCAAGCACAATTAAATATTCGGGGTGTATGGTTAGATTTTTAATTTTTAATTTAAATCAGAATATATTAAAGTAAAAAAAAATTACCCCCCCCCCAAAAAAAAATATACAAATCACTTTTCGGTGCAATAATATATTGGATCGTTTTTCAGACATTATTTCACGTGTTGAACAGAAAGACCGGAGAACGCCACAACCCCTCAGTGAAATACAGCGGAGACCCCATGTTTACTTTCCATATAATCAACAGCTACCAAGAGGAAGGTCAAGCAGGACATTTGTTTTATTTTTTTTAAGTTTATCTTTCAGAGGTTGAATTTTAAAAAAAAAAATAATGTTAATATTCAATTATATATTCATATACTTAAAATCTATACTGTCGATACGAAATTGAAATATTAATGTTATCCATTCTCAGATTTTCTTGTGTTTGATGTCTGTGCATTTAAGGACAACACAATCATTAAGACTTTGTACCTGAAGAACTTTACAGAGGAGAAGATAGCCGAAACAGTGAAAAACCTACCAAGACCTAGTGTTCGTAGATATGTGTTCCCATTAAACATCGATAAAAACGTAAGGTTTGATCACTCTATTTTATCCAAACATATAAGTATAACACTATTCCATCTTCATATTTCTTAACGAAGAAAACGAGAACTTTTAACTTTTAAACTTTTAAAAATTAAAATTTTCATGCTATTCAGACTCCATTGAACGAAAACCTAGTTACCCTTCCCGGGTGTACAGCAACCGCTGTGAAGAAATCTGCCACAGAGGTCTACTGTAGCTGGCAGGAGATTGACACACAAGGAAATGGTAAGGTTGATAAAGTCAACTTTTAGGATTCTCAGTATTCAAAGCTACCAGTACTGTCATAGCCAAATTACAAAAACTTAATGTAAGGTACTGAAAATCTATTCTATATTCATCATATTCAACCTTGGTTTAAAGAAACTGAAAAAATATTATAAATAAAATGGAAAAATAAAAATATTTAACATATTCCTCTAGCAGTGTTTGTAAAGTAATACCCTTAACCATGGCAATATTTTGTTCATTGCTCCTCTTTATAGACCTCCCTGTTTTACAGGATTTGAGCTCCCACAGATTAATTATACACACTATAACGGGAAGAAATATAGATATGCCTATGGAATTGGAAAAGATTTTTCAAAGGTACACACAATCTCCTCGTGTCTCTTACATAAAACTAAAGAAGGAATACATTATGCCCACTTGTTCCATTCTTACTTACTTACCATACAACAGAACATTAGCACTAGAGTTGGAACTTTTAATTCCTTTTCAGTTAACGTTACTGCCGTGTTTTAAATTATAATTGAGTTCTTTTAAACATATAGCTGGTGAAACTGGATATGGACACTCAAGAAGTCAAATTGTGGTCGGCAGAGGGGTACTTCGTATCGGAACCAGTGTTTGTAGCTACCCCCGGGGCTACCAAGGAGGATGATGGTGAGGGATTGCAAATTAATTCAATCCGAAGGGAAAATGATACTTTATGATTCTTCGTCTTTGGTAAACCATCTTTCATACGGGCCTGTGACTTAGCCTCGTTAATGATGACGTAAAACTCGTAAGATTGTTGACAGAAAGTAAATACTAACTGCAGAGGAATCGCAAAAGAAACAGTATCCGAATTTAATCAATTAAATAATTTTTTTTTAAATGAAGGAAATTTCCTTCATGTAACATATAAATAGAAAATAATCAAATTTAATCAAATAAATGGGGCATTTTAATATTTTAAGGATTTTTTAAATAGACGATTCAAAATTTTCCAGGTGTGGTCCTCAGCGCAATCAGTCCTCAAGACAAAGACAAGCGGGCATTTCTGTTATTACTCAATGCGCAGACTTTTGAAGAGGATGCTCGTGTAATCTTTGACACCGACAGATTTTCAAGAGATTTCCATGGATTTTTTAAAAATGAGATGCAATGAATGTTAATTTTTTCTGAAATTCAATTTGAAGTAAATGTTGATTATGTTGTATGTTACATGTATGTTATATTTTTGGATATAATTGCTTGGAATACAAATAATTTGAAAGCGTTTCATATTATTTATTCTACACTATACTCCTTGGAAACACTAAGACTGCTAATGCTACATAAAAACTGCACTTCAGTATGAAGTTATATAATAGTATTTCAAAATTCCTTACACTGATCTGAAATATTTTGTAAAAATTATGTTATTTCTCTTTGGTATTTATTTAATTTATTATTATTATTATTATTATTATTATTATTATTTTGTTTTGAATTTTGCGATACAAATAAACTTAAATAGAAAAGAAAGTTAGCAAATCATTCAAATTTGGTCTGAAATGTCGGGTCGAGGCGATAACCGGTACTTCAAGAATAACTTAAGTACTGGCATTTCAAAAATTACCCTACTTACTTTATGGAGAATTTCAAGCAGAATGCATAATCATGTGAATGTACACTATCTTTTATTAGCTCACCTGAGCCGAAGGCTCAAGTGAGCTTTTCTGATCACATTTTGTCTGTAGTCCGTCTGTCTGTCTGTCCGTCCGTCTGTAAACTTTTCACATTTTCAACTTCTTCTCAAGAACCACTGGGCCAATTTCAACCAAACTTGCCACAAAGTATCCTTGGGTTAAGGGGATTCAAGTTTGTTCAAATGAAGGGCCACGCCCTCTTTCAAGGGGAGATAATAAAGAATTAGTGAAAAATTAATAGCATCCTTTAAAAATCTTCTTCTTAAGAACCACAAAGCCAGGGAAATTGAAACTCATGTGGAAGCATCCTCAGGTAGTGTAGATTTAAGTTTGTCCAAATCATGACCCCCGGGGGTAGAGTGGGGCCACAATGGAGGATCAAAGTTTTACATAGAAATATATAGGAAAAATCTTTAAAAATCTTCTTCTCAAGAACAGCAAAGCCCTAATTAGTCATATTTATATGGAAGCATCCTCAGGTAGTGTAGATTCAAGTTTGTTCAAATCATGACCCCCGGGGGTAGGGCGGGGCCACAATGGAGGATCAAAGTTTTACATAGAAATATATAGGAAAAATCTTTAAAAATCTTCTTCTCAAGAACAGCAAAGCCATGATGAGTCATATTTATATGGAAGCATCCTCAGGTAGTGTAGATTCAAGTTTGTTCAAATCATGACCCCCGGGGGTAGGGTGGGGCCACAATGGAGGATTAAAGTTTTACATAGAAATATATAGGAAAAATCTTTAAAAATCTTCTTCTCAGGAACAGCAAAGCCCTGATTGATCATATTTATGTGGAAGTATCTTCAGGTAGTGTAGATTTAAATTTGTTCGAATCATGATCCCCGGGGGTAGGGTGGGGCCACAATGGAGGATCAATGCCTGAAATAGAAATATATAGGAAGGTATCTTCTGATGAAGAACTGCAAAGCCATGATTAGTCATTTTGATATGGAAGCATCCTCAGGTAGTGCAGATTCAAGTTTGTTAAAATGATGACCCCGGGGATAGGGATGGGCCACAATGGGGGATCAAAAATTTTTTTACATATGAACATATTGGAAAATATCTTCTTCTCAAGAAATGAAAATCATGTTTAGTCATTTTGATATGGAAGCATCCTCAGGTAGTGTAAATTCAATTTTTTTTTTAGCTCACCTGAGCTGAAAGCTCAAGTGAGCTTTTCTGTTCACCCATTGTCCGTCGTCCGTCCGTCTGTCCATCCGTCTGTAAACTTTTCACATTTTCAACTTCTTCTCAAGAACCACTGGGACAATTTTAACCAAACTTGGTACAAAGTATCCTTGGGTGAAGGGGAGTTTAAATTGTTAAAATAAAGGGCCAAGTCCCCTTACAAGGGGAGATAATCAAGAAAAGACAAAAATAGGGTGGGGTACTTTAAAAAAATCTTCTTCTCAAGAACCACAAAAAAGCTGAAACTTATGTGGAAGCATCTTGGGATAGTGTAGATTCTAAATTGTTAAAATCATGACCCCCGGGGGTAGGGCGGGGCCACAATAGGGAATCCAAGTTTTACATTGAAATATATAGGGAAAATCTTTAAAAAACTTCTCCTCAAGAACCACTGGGCCAGAAAAGCTGAACCTTATGTGGAAGCATCCTGGGGTAGTGTAGATTCTAATTGTTCAAATCAGGACCCCCGGGGGTAGGGCGGGGCCACAATAGGTATTTCAAGGGGAAATCTGGTAAAGAACAGCATGGCCAAAGCTACTCAGGTGAGCGATGTGGCCCTGGGCCTCTTGTTCAAATGCTTCTATTTCGCATATATGAAGTAGACGATGCATGAACTTTATAAAAATTATAAGTGTTTATACATGTACTATTTTAGATTAATAAAAAAAAATTAAGCGAAATTTATTTTTTGCAGTAAGATTAAGATATATACACTGTACATTATTTAAGTAAATTTGCTGGTAAAAACATAGCAATATATGTATATATTTTTTTAACTGTTCACATGCATATATTTTTAAAGTTTAAGTAAGTCGGATGGGACGTAAAGCGGTGCCCCGTGTCAAGGATTACAAACCCCTTTAGCACGCAAAAAACCGTTTTTCCGGTTTTTGAAACAGAGTAGGCTCACTAGGGGCCGCCAGAAAATCCAATAACAGAGTAGGCTCACTAGGGGGCCGCCAGAGAATCCAATAAAAGAGTTGGCTCACTAGGGGCTGCCAGAGAATCCTATAACAGAGTAGGCTCACTGGGGGCCGCCAGAGAATCCAATAACAGAGTAGGCTCACTAAGGACCGCCAGAGAATCCAATAACTTTAAAAAACAGGTAATAAGAAAGAAATTTGATCGCCGAAATATGGCTGAAACTACCGATTCGGCGCTAGGTGCCTGCAATATCCCTGACTCCAAGTTAAGTTCTCATCTTATTTTGTTACCCAAGTTTACCTCTATTTCCCTAACAGGAGGATACGATTTTTTGGCAGGGTTGTGTGTCTGTCAGATAGTCTCAAAATCAAGCCCAGGCCATACTTCCCTCTTGCTAAAGTAAAACTGTAACGCGTGGTTGTCCAGAAATTGTAGATGTATCAAATTTTGATAAAAGGTCAAAGATCAGGGTCATTGGACATGATGAGATGTTGAAATGATAACATAACAAGGACTCTGATCGAAACCTTCATTGCAATTATTAATTCAAACTTAAATATCAGTATTCTTGTCCTTGGCCTATTAAAGGTGTGTCAAGACCATGACTCAAGGTCATACCCCAAACGTCAAGGTCAGAAGGCAATGAGATTGTAAAATTGTGTTAGGGTCATAATTCTTAAAACTTTTCTTGCAATAACATAAAACTAGTATTTTCCACAAAAATGACCTAAGAGGTGAAAAAATGATCTTATATAAAGGTCAGATCTCAAAGGTGGAGATCGCTGTGCAAAAACATTGTGATTTTTTTAGGTCAATGACTCCCAAACCCTGACTGTAATCTTAACGAGCTGCGCTCAACTTATATATAACTCAAGCAATCCTAAAATCTACAATGTTTATCATTACATATTTGATGCGCAACAATTCATTTTAAGATCTCTGCAAATAACAATGATTTCTTCTTGAATTGTTGCGTGCATCAATTTTCTGATAGCATAAATTTTTCTGTTAATGAGCGCAGTAATTGAATTATTGTGTTTTCTTCAATTGAATTACTGCACGCATCAATTCCATTAATATTTGCAATACAATGTAATTGAACTATAGAGAAGAACGAGTCATCAGACATTAAAACACATTATTTTCTTATTTATATGACCTTATGTCATAAAAATCAGCCATACATAAAAAAGGGAATTAACTTGGTAATAATTATCAGAAGTGGAAAGGGGGGGGGGGTGTTACTTACCAGTCCCAGTTGTTGTCCCACTCCCTGCTGGACTCAATTTTTGTAGTCCTTGACGCATTCACTACTGCACCATCACACAAATCACTGTAGAAAGTTAAACCAACCGTCCCTATTGTAGCTGCAGCTGCTACCCCTTTCGCAAAATTTAATCCATGTCTAAACAAAACCATGGTGCTGCAGATGATGTGGGATTTTATTTTCGAAAAAAAAATACTACAGATCTACTTCCGACAAGCGGAAATACGCCCATGGATAGCAAACAGGCGTGTTCATTACAGCGTTATTCGTGTTCTATCTTTCCTTCTATATTTTTGTCCCGAATATTTTCGCCAAAGCAAGGGGTCATTAAATCTCATTCGTACGAAAGCCCATTGAGCTCATTTTCGTAGGTAACAAAAAAATATTTTCGCGTTATAACGCGAAACTTTCGCGAATAAAAGCGTAACTTTCGCGTTATAACGCGTAACTTTCGCGAATAAACGCGTAACTTTCGCGTTATAACGCGTAACTTTCGCGATTAAACGCGAAACTTTCGCGTTATAACGCGAAATTATACATATATAGTCATGTTACTCAGGAACCTGTGTTCTTGACTGACAGATAAAACAGATAAAAAACATGAACGCAGAGGGGGACTTCTATGAATTTATAAATGACATTTCTTCAGAAGATGTAAAAGAGAATTGATGCGAGAAATGGATAGATTAGTGTTGATTTTGCATTTAATCTCAAAACCCTATACTAATTAATTAAATGAATATTTCTTTAAAGATTTTCTTGTTTTTCACTTGTTGAATCCAAGAAATTCTGTAGACTAATTTTTTTTCTCAGGAAGATCTCCACTCGTTGCTTTCTTTGAATAAATTGTCAATGTTTTCGTAAGTAATGGTATGACCAAATGGTGCAACCTTAAAATACAATATTAATGTTGTATTTCTTCAGTGAGTCTATCGGAAATGAAATATTTGATACGAATATTTGTCATCCAATTTTCACATTAGGTTACTCATGTGATGTGACACAATTGTTCCGTGAAATACAAATTTACCTCATTGTTGTCAATTTTCTGAGATCTTTTATTTCAAATTCTATATAGAATGTTCAATCTAATTAAAATTAGACTTGTATTTTCGCTCCTCTACTATACGCTTCAACACTTGTATTGAACAGCATTGAGAAAGACAAAATGTGACGGCAAAACAGATTTAGAAAGAGGAAAGACACATTCAATGGCGAGAAAACATAAAATTTCAGCTCGTGATAATCCAAGTTCAAAATAGTCTTTCGTTTTTCACTGTAATGAATAAACTAGATCATTAAAAAGTAAAGCAAACTGTAGACTTATGCAAATGTCTCTGTTTTACAGGGAAAGTTTCGCGTTATAACGCGAAAGTTTCGCGTTTATTCGCGAAAGTTACGCGTTTATTCGCGAAAGTTACGCGTTATAACGCGAAAGTTACGCGTTTATTCGCGAAAGTTTCGCGTTATAACGCGAAAAATATATTTTTGTTACCTTCAAAAATGAGCTCAATGGGCTTTCGTACATTCGTCTGTCTGTCATAAAAACTTTTACCATGGTCATAACTTTTGAATGAGAAGAGATGGGGCTTTCATATTTCACTTGTACATAACCTGTGACAAGAGCTTTCAGATGCACTATGATTTTTGCCCTTGGCCTTGAAGTTTGACCTACTTTTAAAAATTTTAAACATTGTTTATAACTGTTGAATTAGAGAAGAAAGGGCATTCAAACTATGAATTTTAACCCCTGACCTTGAAGTTTGACCTACTTTTTAAAAAATTAAACGTTGTTTATAACTGTTGAATTAAAGAAGAAAGGGCATTCATATTTGACATATTCGTTTCCGATCATTCTATGATATTTGATCCTGTAACACTGACCTTCAAGTTTGACGTAATTTAAAACAAGAGGCCCAGGGGCCACATCGCTCACCTGAGCACTATGGCTAGGAAAAAGCAGAAATCAGTTCAGTCTTGAAAGGCTGAAAAGTTTAAATATAAAAGTGGTTGGGGGGGGGGGGGCATGAATTGAACAAATTTGAATCTACATTACCCGAGGATGTTTCCATTTAAATATGACCAATTATGGCTTTGCTGTTCTTGATAAGATTTTTAAAGATTTTTCCTTTATATTCCTATATAAAACTTTGATCGCCCATTGTGGCCCCACCCGACCCCCGGGGGTCATGATTTGAACAATCTTGAATCTACACTATCTGAGGATGCTTCCACATAAGTTTCATATTTTCAAGCACAGTGGTTCTTGAGAAGATTTTTAAATGATGCCATTAATTTTTCACGAATTCATAATTATCTCCCCTTGGAAGAAGACGTGGCCCTTCATTTGAACAAACTTGAATCCTCTTTACCCAAGGATATGGCAAGTTTGGTTGAAATTGGCCAGTGGTTCTGGAGAAGAAGTGGAAAATGTGAAAAGTTTACAGACGGACAGACGGACTACAGACAAAATGTGATCAAAAAAGCTCACTTGAGCCTTTGGCTCAGGTGAGCTAAAAAATATCATTGCTGCTAACTTTTGAAGGAGAGAAGACAGGGCATTCATATTTTACATGACCATTACCTGTGACAAAATGTTTCCAAATGTTCTATTATTTTTAACCCTATGACCTTGAAGTTTGATCTAATTTTCAACAAATTTAACATTGCTGATAACTTTTGAATGAGAGAAGATAGGACATTTATATTTGACATGTGCGTTGCCTGTCTCAAGACCTTTCGGAATTTACTCTGGTTTTGACCTCCTGACCTTAAAATTTAAGCTAATTCTTTTTTTTTTCAATTTTTATTTTACATTGGCAACTTTTGAATGAGAGAAAATAGGGCTTTCATATTTTACATTACATTACCTATGACAACACCTTTCAGAAAGTTGTATCTTTTTTGACTTCATGACCTTGTCCTAGAAGTTTGAAGGACACACAAACAAGAAAATTACAATATGCCCTAAATAATTCCATCCCACACCCAAGAAGACATCGAAAGCGTGGGACCACAATTCCTTGAATTTGCTTGTTTTTATAATTTGCATCCTTTTTCCAAATGTATTTTTTTTTACTTTAAATTTAGTATGAAAATGTTCATTGAAAGACTAATTGGTTCCAATTTCTTATCGCAGCATGGTCAAATCCTGAAATTTTTTATCATTTTTTTTTTTTTTTTTTTTTTTTTTTTTTTTTTTTTTTTTTTTTGCTGATGAAAAAGTAAGAACCTACCAAAACATGCCTATCACCATTTTTGAGATGTGTCCATCTCTACACTTGCCACAATAATTTTTACCTTGTCAAAATGATTTTTTTTTTCGAACCTTCTAGGGAATATTTCTCTTAGTACATGTACTTCATTATCTATCAGTAATACTAATCATACATGTTCAAATTGCATACCATAGGTTTATCATGGCTCTTTCTACTGCACTTAACATTTCTTTCTTGTTGGCATAGTTCGTAAGATCAAGAAAATCGATCTCGAGTTTCATGGACACAGCCGCAATGCCGGTTGAAAAGGGGAATAACTCAATTTTCTATCAAAGTAGTCCCGATCATCCAGACGCTTGTCTTTATACCACGCTTCGTAATAGAGTCGAAGCGTCTTGATTATCAAGACTTTATCAAAAGAAACCCAGTTATTCCCCTTGTCACTCATCCAAGAAACTTTGTTATAAATCTAATCAATGAACTTATACAATGTTTAAAATGAACTTAAATTTGTTGACAAGACAGATAACTCAATTACAAAAAAAAATAATAATAAAAAATAGAATTTTGCTCTAAATTTTAATTTTTCATGCCTGAGAAACGAATTTTTTTTCTGGTTTAATTGTACATTTCATTCAGAATGATGCTATGCTTCCAGGAAATTCAAAATATGATACTATTGGAAAGTGTTCTTGTGTGAACACAGATTTTATACAAAATTTCAAAGATTAAATTTCTCATCATATTTTTTATTACTCATCACTGAAATTATAGTTGAATCCACACTTTTCAAAAGTTATGTTCATTGTTGACCGCCACCTTGGGGGGGGGGGGGGGGGGGGGGAGGGGTAGAATTCCCACAGTGACCTTTGTGACTTTTATGTTTGTAACTTTGTAGTTTGACTTCAAAATAACCATAACATCTTGTATTTTGAATGCCAAAGGATGGGGCTACCAACACAGTAAATTTGTAGCAGCATGCCCTAATGTTTGGTAGTGTAAAAAAAGAGAAACATTGGTCTTTTAGTTTACCCCACAAAGGGAAACAACTTTTGCAAAATGTGGATTGGACTTTTTCGGTATTTTCGTTTTTTCTTTGGTATGTTCAGTTATAAAATGGACAAACAATATTTCATATAGAATTTGAGATTTTATTATTTTTAATATAAAGTTTAGTCTCTCATCACTTAACGGTACTTAAACCTCTTTCTGACTCGCTTTCCTCTTCTGTAGTTGTACTTTTTCTTTAAAAATCTAATCCTCTTCAAAATTTTTTCGAGTTTGGATGGATAATTATCTTCGATGAATCTCCCCTCAAATCTGAGCTTTCTGTTGAGTCTACCTAACTCATTAGCGTTAAAACCAATCAGATAGGGAGGTCCTTTAATTAAATCTACAGGATGAATGTCTCCATCTCCTAATATATCTAAAATAAAAGAGAAAAATTATGTCCTATATTACAAGAATGATAAAATCCAAACTAGTTTTAGTTATTTCAGTCAGATTGACAAGTATGGTATGTAAAACTCGGCTATAGCGAAGCTCTGGGGACCTGCAAATTTACTTCACTGTATCTGTAATTCATTATATCAGTATAACAAATTCCTAGTATACATAGTGAATTTGCAATATAGATTTTTTCACTCAAGTATGACCACCAAATGTGTTTAGAAAATTATAAAATACATATCAAAAGTTTTTGGATGAATTGAGTTTCAAATGTAAATACTTACAAAATTAATACATGTATCAGCTTCATGTTTTTAAAATTCAGATCTTTGAAAATTTGCTATAAAAGATGTAAATTTCATTATGTTTAACTTCTGGGGAACACAAAATCAGTTGGCAATAACCATAAATTCGCTACATCCAGGTTTGTTATATCCGTAAAATATTACAAGTTCACCAGGGATTGCAAAAATCTATATCCGTAAATTCGCTATATCCGTGTTCATACTAAACGGGTTTTACTGTAGTATGTAAATTCTAGCTTTAAATCTACTGACCTATGTAATCATTAGCTCCTTGTAATGCCCAGCGTACAGAATCTTCTTTATATTTGAATGGTAGCTTATTTGAAACTGCTTTGTCAACTCTGGGTAAAGTTGCTATTGGAAATCAAAACAGAAAAGCTTTCTCAAAATGCAAGTCAAACAAATCAACCAGAGTGGTTGTTCATTTCACTCATGTTCACCTCTGTCAAACTTGAAGTTTAGCTCAAATTGATATATCAGTGGAAATACCAAACAAAACATAAGCTGTGCTATAATGTAATGCATAGTTATAAACAGATATTGCTTAGACTTTTCACTGATAATTTTCTTTCATCTCAGATATACATGTATACATTATTATTTAAAAAATTGATCTGAATTTAAGAAGAAATTTCCTTGAGATTTTAAATAAGTATAACCAAAATCTTGTAAAATCCAAGACAATAACATAGTGCAGAGGTGTGAGAGAAAGAAGACAACTCTAGGTAATGAAAGCCACATTGACTGTAATCTTTATCTTACTCGTATGTGTTCATGGTAAGTATTAATTTAAAGTATGGTATTAACATATTCAGATAAATAAATAACATATGAATTAATAATTAATCTACTAAAAATATTCAGATATTCAGTAACAGATAACTTGTAATCTTTTTCTATTATTTGTCTGTTAATAACTTTGAAAGATATACAATTGAAATCGTTTCTTATGAATTAATTTGGTACATAAACACTCCAAACGTTTGATGTCTTTTATCCTTTTGTTTTTCTTTTTTTATACATTATATAACCATTTAGATACTAACGTCCAGATCTAGTTTTAGTGACAAACTGGAATCTTTTAGGCCATAGTCTTCTGTATGGCGACTGAGGTTCATATTTTCTGTCCCCCACTCCAATTGTCACAGCATCCTGTTCTGGTTCTTGGAAATTAACTGGACTTCCATGAAACAGCTTAGAGACTACAAAGCTTACTGCTTGGTATTCCTGTTGCTTGAATAGCCCTCCAGTCAAATTGTTAACATTTATGTTTGCACATGCTTTGGAAAGTGTTCCAAGTTTTCTCATCAAAAACATTCTCTGGATTCTATGGATGTTTTGTTGTCATATCTGTATGAATAATGAAAAAAAAATCTTAAATAAAGTTGTATTAAACTGAAAGTTTACTAAATTGTGTTAACATTTACATCAAAATCGTATGAATGATACATACAGAAATCCTCTTAAATTTACATTTTTAATTTGACTTACTGTGCTTGGTAAACAAAACAGCATGATTGAAGGTGTACACCATTTTCCACAATAAATACACTGTTATTTTAATGTATCAAAACTTTTCTTGGAATTGTTTTTATTGGGGGGGGGGGGGGGGGGGTGTTAAATAAGAGAAAATGACACAAATCAGAGCCAACAATGACACAATATTCAATCCATTACAAGTATTGTCCATTCTAATGCAAATTCAGAGAGGTGTTTATATATCATGATAAAAGTGTAGACAGACACTGGAAACAGAGGCTCTTACATGGTACACTGTATTTTGACAGTCTTCATTCATTTGTACAAATTCAGCATGTCCTAAATATGAAATTCTAAAAGCTGCAGAAGTTGCTCCTTCAATATAATTGTCATGTGACATTTTATATAGATTTTTAACTTTTTTTTTCTTTCTTTCTTTCTTTTTTTTTAAAGGCACTGTACAGTATTTCCAAGGCTCTTAGGGAGTATTTGGGTCTGAAGTTTTATTATCACATGCTGGGATTAATAATAGATTATAGTGATTCATAAAGATATGAATAGGGAATAAGCCTTCAGTCTTATTCTCTATTCAACAGTTAAAAATAATATCAGGCAAAAATATTTCCCCTTTTTTTTTACTTTTCAATTGAATGGGTACCAAAATGGGTCAATTAAACCCGACATGTATGGCATACGTTAATGAAATGTCTACAGTACTTAGCATACATTGTATGCTATTAAGTACTGTAGATAAATTTCATTAACGAATTAAGCTGATAATGTGAAAAAAAACTGTATTTAAATAACTCAGTGCAACTATCTGAATAGCTATAAAGCTGTATACCAAGCTACATAAGGGATTGTGCAAATCAAAATACATACAACACTCAAACATGCAACGGGTTGGGTAACAGTGTTAAAACAATAATTCCATGTAATGGTTGTAAGTTATAACCATGTGATTCATTAAGTTATTATTTAGACAAATGTTTGCAATACTTTTTGGTGTAATGTGTTCAACATATTGTGCACATTTTCTGAGAAAATTCGAAATTATACATGCTTTTATGATGTAAACATGATTTTCTACAGTTGTAAAAGTTATTATTCTAAAATACTGTAATTTCTATATGATGCAATTATATCTCGGTATGAAAGCATTCTTCAAATTACCTGTACAGATCTACACGATGAGAGTCATGCCACTCATTGTTCATTTGTTGTTTGTTCTACTTTGCTTCCGGCTGAAGTGAAGGTCGTTGATTTTACCCACAATTCTGTACTTTCTAAACACCCCTACTCTCACATGGGGAATTAGCTCAAGTGGTAGAGCGCTCGCTTAGCATGTGAGAGGTACCGGGATCGATACCCGGATTCTCCAGATTTTTTTTAACTTAAAAATGAATACGTAATTTTTACAAATAAGATCATTCACTGTTGATTCCCATTAACAAATTTTCAATATAATAATTCCTCTTTAACGATTTTGGTTAATATTTCCTCCTTTTTTTTTTACATCGTTGTTCATAATAAAAGAAATCATTATTATCTCATGCACTAATCAATGTATTAAAAAATGCAAGGCATTTGTTCACTTTCAAAACTGTCTCAAAATTATAAAGGGATAGAGTCAAAGATGAAATCAACATTTCTGCAGCACTAAATCTGTACTTATTTATGGGGTAGTGGGTAGAGCTTAGCAAGGCGGAAAATGCCCTTTCCAGTTCCTCATTTAGGAAGTAATTTCTTGAAATCAAATCAAATTCTAATAATATATTTTCAAAACAGGAATCAATATAAACAAATTTAAACAGAATAGTTTATCAAGAAAAAGGAAAACAAAAAGCTCCAATTAACACATACTGTTGATCTTACAGTATTACACTGAACACATTAACAGTGGTTTCTCTGTAACAATTATACAAATATAACATGGATCTACGGCTACTGATTGACCACCATGCTATACCACGGATTCATGAACCTCGTTAATGTGAGTCACAATGGCACTAGACGTAGCAAAATCCATCCCACAATACGTACACTGATACTCATTGTTTCTGTGCTGAGCCCTATGATTCTGTAGATGCCATTTGGACATAAACTTTCTTTGACATATGTTGCATTCCACAAGATCTCTTTCCTCTTGGTCAATGGACTCGTGAGTTTTCACGTGCATCAAGTAATCCTTTTCCATGGTACATTTATATAGGCACAAAGAACATTCAAACCATTTTCCATTAGCAAAGTTAATTTTTCTCTTCCATCCACGCGCATTTTCCCGTTTAGCATGATCTCTTTTGGGGGGCAATTTTGCTGAAGAGAGTCTTCTACGTGCTGATTTCTTTCTTCTCTTCCTGCCAATTTTCTTTTTCTTGTTGTAGTATCTCGATTTCCAATCTCTCTCAAAGTCTGAGGCGGAATCAGAGGTAGGGCTGGATTCGGAAGAACTCACCTCTTTGTATTTGCTCTCAACACTGGGTTTTGTTTTTAAGGTTTCTGTTTCGCCATTTACGGAATCGGATAAATCCCCGTCAGCTGTTTCCGTACTGGAACAGTCCAACAGGTCCTCGGCACAATGAACAGGAGGTAGTTCAATGTCCCCCTCCGTTTCCACATCACGAGTGAAAGATAATTTGCGCTTGCCAGTTTTACTCACTTGTAAAGCAGAATTTGTTCTTTTAGGTTCAAAATCTTCCTTTATGTCCGAAACATTGAACGTCTGCTTGCGTTTGTTTTTACCCATTTCTGAATCCGATTTCTTTGGGGTGGCGGGATTAAACGACAGTACCTGACTATCTTTCGATTTAATTTGAGTTGGTTGTTTTGTTATAATAGACACTAATTTATGACTTTTCCCAGAATTCTGCGCTGTAAGGGTATTATTATGCATTTTCGGCGATGAATTAATTTCAGTTTGTACGGAGATACTTCTATTGTAATTATTATCTTTAGTCGGACTGTCACAGGGAACGGTGGATTTTTTAAGAATCTGTGGTTTTGTGATTTGGCGCAGGGTTTTCTTTGGACTAACTGAACCATTATCTTCCTCCTCCTGATGTTTGAATGAAATACTCTGTCGCAACATCGTTTGAATACGATCTTGAACTAATGGAGAAATATATTGTTTCTTGTTTGATAATTGCTTATCACCAGTAGAATTGGGTTTCTTTTCTGTAATTGAAGTTTTTAACATTAGAGATTTAACAGGCCGATTTGGGGATTCTACAAGGCGTTTTATAGGTGATTCCTGAGTTGTTTTTGATTTGTCTACCTCTACTCGAAAGACATACTTTCCTTTCATATGAAGTGTCATGTGATGAAGCAAGTATTGGGATGATGGAAATCGCGAGGAACACATCCCACATGTAAAGGGCACTGGGTCGTCTGCTGCAATAGTTTCAGGATTTTCTTCTTCAATGAATTCTGAATTTTTTAGCCTCTCAGATTCTGAACCTTTTTCTTCCTGATCTTCATTATTTACTTTCTCCTCGACTGATTTCCTTGGTGTTTTCTTGCGCCGTTTGGCATCCAAGAATTTTCTGTGCTCATTTTCATGAGGGCGAAGCTTTTCGTTCGATAGGAATGGTACTCCACAATACCGACATTCCAATAAATCATAAGGATCGATGTCCTCGTTTTCAGGAGAATAATGATCGAACAAATGCCGCAGTATCCGATCAATGTTGGAACCATTAACGCTAGGAAAAATATACCCACAAAATGCGCATTCAAGTTTATTCTCCGACATATCATCTTTGTATACTTCACCAAGATGACGGACAATGTGGACTTGCAAATTATATAATGATTTAAATTGTGATGTGCAATATTTACAAAAGAATCTTGAGTTTTGATGTTTGTCTCTCTTTTTCATTTCTGAATCCCAATCTCCTATTTTCTCAGCATTTCTCTCTTCTTCAGGGTTTTCCAGAAACTTTGATTCTCTCTCCTTTTCTTGATTATCCACGTGTTTCTGAAGATGGCTTGATAAATCTGTTTTCTTAAAAAACCATTTCGGACAATAACCACACCTGAATACCTGGTGGGATATACGGATATTGTAATCCTTTTGAAGCTGGGCAATTCTGTCTAACCCACTTTCTGCTGCACGTGACGCCTTTGTGTCCCTGCGAGGTCTCTTACTGGGAACTTCGATGCTGTCCTCTTCCTGATTTTCATTATCTGAAGCGCAAGATGACTCACCATTCTGTGCATCTTGTACAGGAGGCATATAAATAACACTACTTCCATTTTTTCTGTCTCTCCGTTTAGATTTTAATTTGAACTTCGCTTTCTCTTTCAAATTTCTCCCAAATTTCCCCGATTTCTTGTAAACAATCTTTCCCGAATCATTTGGTAAAACGTGCTTGTTTCTGATATGACATGCAAGGGTTTGCTGTTTCTCGAATACTTCACCACAATACCCACATGCATAAGTTAGCTGCCCTTTTCCCTTGGACAATGTCAAAGTACACTTAGTGGCAGGTCTTTTGCGACGCACTTTGTGTTTCGAACGATCATCCTTCTCAAACGAATGAACTTGGCCAGATTTACTTACTTTGTATTTAAGTTCGTTACTGTGTCTTGTTTTCACGTGAATTGCAAGATCCTGACATTTTAGAAACTTTTTATCACAATGCCTACACGTGTACCTTTTATTGTGAAGTGACAACATGTGCATTTTGAATCGACTTTTAGTGGTCAGAGTACAGCTACAAAAGTGACACTTATATTGACCATCTTGTATCGTATATGCTTTCATCTTCTCGCTCTCTTTCATTGGGGTTTGTGAACAATCTTCTTTATCCTCGACTTGTATACTCTTGGTGTCTTTATCATGTGACACAAGAGGAGGTATGTCTTCCTTGCATTTTCCGTTGTTAATGCCAATATCGAACTCTGTTTTCAGTGGACCCCCTTCCAAACATTTTTCAACATTTTCTTTCGATGATTTCTTCATGCTCTTCTTTTTCTTTAAGTGAACTGGTTCGTTAACTTTATTAACATCGTTCTTAACTTTTCTAGCTCTGAGGGACCGAGAAGTGATATTGTTCTCACATACATCATTTTCATCTTGCTTTTGCGGAAATTCGTCTAACTCATTTTCTTTCTGTTGATCTGAAAGGGAGAACACATTTTCAACCACCAAGCTGGTTTCGTTGTCCTCCACATTTATAAGAGAACTGGAAAAGGACAAATGTTTGGAATCTGCTGCAGAGTTATGGCTGTGTTGAGAATTATTCGCAGGCTCTGCTACATCTATTTCTGTTGCAGGCTGATGCTCTGGTTCTCCTACACAGTCTTCTGTTGCATCTTCTTCCCTTTGATGAAAATCTACATGTTCACTTCGCACATCCGTTATAAGTAACTTAAATTCAGTACCGCTGCTTATGTCCAAATCACCGTTCTCCACGTGATTTTCAACATTATTCTTTGAACAAGGTGATGCACTATTTTTTACAACTTTTTCGGCTATCTCTACGTCCATTGTCTGAGTACTATCTTGTGTTTCTTCCTGTTTATCGTCTTCAAAGTTTGACAATTCATTGCTATTTACAGCTTCCAACTGTGCAACATGACACATGACTGAACTTTTTTCGCAATTACTAACGAAATCATTCGTTTCAGAATTTAAGTCTGATCTTACAGTATTTGGTGAACTGCTCCTGCTAAAAGAATTTACAGCTTCTGCCTCACTTTCATCGTCGCTGTCGTCAGAATTTTCACTCTTACTTTGCGAGTGATCGTCATTATTCAAAGAGAAGGGATCCGATTCGCCATCGCTCTCTACATCAGAATCAGAACAGCTCATTTCCTGGTCAGATGAAGAAACATCCTTTTCGGACGATCCCAGTGGATCTACCGCAAAAAGTTTTTCTGCCGCTTCCTTTAGTTCAACAGATAGTTGACCCATGCGAATAGAATTTTCTTTGTCCAAAGTATCGGAATGATCGTCATTGTAGTTGAATGAATCTTCCTTGTCTTCTTCGAGATCTTCCAAGCTTAAAAATTTGTCTCTGGTTTTGCTACATTTCGACGACCCCTCTTCGTCCGATGACGCGTCTCTTTCTGAAGATCCCAGGGGATCAACTTCAAACAACTTTTCTGCGGCATGCTTTAATTCCACCGACAGGTGGTCCACCAGTCTGTCTACATCCGCCGGAAGTTCAGGCGTGTTCAAAGTGCTCTCTGCAAAAAGATGAAAATAACTAACAATGAAAAATAGGATCACTTTTTGAGTCATCAATTTTCTATTCCCAAAAATATTTTGTTATTCTCGTCAATCAGTTATATATATATATATATATATATATATATATATATATATATATATATATATATATATATATATATATATATATATATATATTTAAAATCTTTATCAGAGCTGGATTACTGTTATAGAGTGTCAATAATGCATCGGTGCTGCGTGTATACAGTGAGGTAACGGGTAATATCTTATTAAGAAAAACAATTTGATTCAACATATACTGGTAATTAGTACAAAAATTGTTTTAAGACAATAAGACTTGTTCTTTTCAGAAACGTTAATAACTTAAAGGCAGAGGGTTATTTTTCACCAGGAGTGTAGAACATAGCTTAGAGGAATGATCAAATATATTCACATGTTCATTGCAAATGTTATTTTTAATTGACAAATATGTTTAAATAATTTAACCTTAATCGTATGATAAAATTCATTAACAGTGCACCAAATATTTATTGTAATTACAACAACAGCAGTTTGCTTTATCACATTTTATCACTTGTACTTGTCAAATTGATCTGTGTCAATATAAGACATTTTTGATATACACAAATATTAAAAAAAATGCATGTACACTAAGTCAAAATAATAAATACTATATTTCAGTAGTTTAATTATTTTTATTTATATATTACACCCTTATATAGATCAAGCATTATGATTCAATACAAGGACAAAGAATAGAAATTGAACATATAGATTCTAAAAGTACATACTTTCTGTAGTGTTTGGCTGTGTTAAAATCTGTGTTATTTCATTATCGTATAATTCGTCCTCCAGGGACCGGAAGTCGATTTCAGTTGACTCGGTTTCCATAGTATGTTATTTCCGGTCACACATTTTCTGAAATGATTATACAATACATAACTATTGATACATTCTATAGCAATTACAAATAGCCCATAAAAATATGTTGTTGAAGTATTGTTCAGTACTTGTATATATACAATCAGTCTGTATGACTTGCCTAGTGTCATCCTTGGCGCCTTTATAAATACATTAATACATTTAATATCCTGTTTACAACTCCACTTGTATCTTTCCCTCAGTTGTCTTCTGTTTTATTTCATCAAGCAATATGTTTAGCTGAAATCAAGTTTGTTTGTCAGAAAGATTCAACAATGGATGAAAGTCCCATTGAAATGGAATTGCCAACTCCAGTGCATACCAAGTATGTAAATGTAATTTTTAAAAATATATATATAACAACAAATTACTTTCTGTCGCTCAGTCATTACAAGTGTTTACAAGGAAAATTTGCGTATTCGGGTAAATTCATCCTAATACCTTATGATCCAATTAATTTATTCATTTAATTACTCATATGTATACTTGATGCTAAAATTGCGTTTATAGATATTTTACTTTATTCTATAAATATAGGCTATGAACAAAATATGTAATAATGACCGCGCAAATTAATTAAACAGCGGTTCCGAACAACTAATACCTGGAAAAACAGTATAATTTTATATAGCGTTCTTATACTTCACATCAATCGGCCTTCGTTAAAGGAATTCGCCATCGCGTTGTCAGAGGATGCACACAATATTTTCAGGTATAGCGCTACTTTTTATTTTCCTCAATTCAACACAACACAACACAGTACATTCTTTTTAATGTTTTTACTGAAAGTCGAACTCGCAAATTTCGACGCGACGATAATAATTGCGAGCCTTCGCGCGCCTCCTCAACAACTAGGACATGCGCTCATCGACCGGAACGGCATAACTTCCGCGATGCCGACATTGTCAATATATATGATCGTTACACACACAGCCAAAGTCCGATCTTGAATATATTTTCGATATCCCATTTCGATATCTATATTCCGTATATTGTGATTCCGCCTATTTCTGGACAAAATTACTGTCTGTCACCCAACCGACATCCATGTTTACTTTCCTCATTCTTGCTGACATGTTACAATAAAACACTTTGCCGATACACTTGTTTATCATTTATTTCTGATCGTACCGAGGGATTTATTAAACGCTTTCAGAATGTTTTCAGCCAGTTAACATATAATTATCGTTAAATTTACCTGATAATTTTCGAAAGAATGTGAAATCCAGGTAATTTCCGTGGAATTTTCCGAGTATTTTGCGAGCGTAAAATCTGTCGATCGCTGTGCAGTGTTTTCAACGGGAGATCACTCTTCGTGTCATCTGTAGAGGCGATGCACGGGGGGAATGTGGGTCATCCATTCTATTTTTATGTGACAACTTGGCGGTTGTCTTGATCTCAGAGAGCGCATCATTTGATTAAGAACAATATATAATAGTACTGAAGGACAATTTTAAGTGATTATTTGAATTTTCTTACATTTGTTTTCATTATCATCTGACTTTATAAGAATTAATGCTCTCGTTGTCAGGTTTTAACCAGTCTATTGCTAAGATTTAAAAAAAAAATTATACGGCATGTCTTAATTAACACATGTATGTCAACTTATACTGTGCCCTACATTCATTTTTAGTAATTTATTTGTTGTGGTATTTTTTATTTTATATGTTAAAATATTATTGCATGCATTGAATTATTCTTCATAGAATCTTTTAGGGGTCTTTAATTTTTACGAAAAATTAATTCTCTGTGTAACAAGCTGTAGAACTGTAGCGTTATTGTTTTATATATGAATTAGTCTTTGACTCACTGTAACACTAGGCTATTGCAGAACTGCAGCGTTATATTGTTTTATATGTTAGTCTTCGATCCCGTAATGCAAATATGGTGCAATCTACAGAGTAAGATTTTCTGCGCACGGTTAGGAAAGAATTTCTCCCCTTTGGTCACATTGGTCAATCAACTACCTTTCACTCCTTAATTCTAGACTTATTCTTTAACCAACCTGTATATTTTATCCACCTCCTAACCCTTTATAGTCGTCTCTACAGAGCAGTAAACTCGCTTGTTTTGACTTTTTGTCGGATGGCAGAAAATTCAAATATTGCACCATATTTGTTTGCATTACGGGATCTGTAGCGTTATGGTCAAAGACTAACATATATAAAACCATAACGCTACAGTTCTGCAGCTGTTGCGTAACATACATACACAAACAATTAAACGAAATAGAACACAATTCGGTTGTTAATGCAAACCCCTAAACTTCGTCAAAGAAAAATTAATATCAAATTTATTTCTCTTTATGAGCATCTATATGTCTGCGAAGTAATTCACGTCTAATAATTTGCAAACTGCTTTGAAAGACTTCTGAGAAATGCAAAGTGCGAACCCTTTAAAAAAAATAGTTTCATGTATTTCAACGTGATATTTTAGAGTTTTCTTATTATTCAAAATATTAGCAGAATTTATAGTAATTATAGAACATATATGTATCTCACAGATTTTACATCCCCCTCCCCCTTTTCCGTCTAATCACTGAAATATTTCAAAATAAGTAAAATGACTATTGACTAAATATTGGAAGAAGAGATGATTACAGCGTTTACCCAATAAGTTATCTGGATTGTATTTTGAAAGTCTATATGAACTGAATAAGTTTGCTCATACTGAAACCATGCATAATCTGATTTTTAAAAATACTTCGTTTTGATGGGCCTTCTCATGCCTTTTGGACTTAGAATGCAAATATTTGGAAATATGTTATAGTTACTAATATTTTATTAATATTTAAAACAGAGATTAAAAAAAATCAGTTTATACATTTTTTTTTAATTTGGTCTGATACTAGATAACACCAGTTCTAGTATTACAAAATAAATCAATCAATCAATCCAAATATGTGTTGTGCAGGGGCGTCGGCAAGTATTTGACATTGGGGAGGCGAATTGGATCGAAAAGGGGGGGTCCTAACCAAGTTTTTTAATGACATAAACTAAATAATTAAAATTTCCGCCAGAATCTTGATATTTTCCCCATTAAGTCAAACACCTAGACCACAGGAGTTCGCATACCTATCAATTTTACCGAAATTTTTAGTAAATAAAAAAAAATACGTAATACCTATAATAATAACACTTATAGGTATTACGTATTTTTTATATTTACTGAAAATTTCGGTAAAATTGATAGGTATGCGAACTCCTATTCCTAGACGTATTTTCTGATCGACAACGAACAGGCCTGTTACATGTATACGCGGAGTAAAGTGTCAGGAAGGGGTGGGGGCGCCATTTTTTGCCCAATTTTTCCACTTTTTCTGAGAATAGTTTTTTTTGCTTAAGTTTCGATAGGTAAAAATTCATTTATTCAGACGCTGCTTGCCCAACCTCCCTTTCATACACACCTTTTGTTGCTGTTAGGTCGAACTCAGGCAAATTCCAGCATTTAATAAGACATAAAGTTGAGGAAACAGACTGTGTGCATTGATCAGACATGTAAGTCAATCTCTTTTTCTCTCTCTTTCCGGGAAAATGTTATCCGTTCTGAATAGTGTGTTGCAACTAGACTCTTGATAACTTCCGGTTTAGAGTTTGGTGTAACGTCAGTCTGAACTTATGTTATGAGGTTACAATGATCGTTGACCCTAAAAGAACTCTAAAATAATAGATAATTGTAGGATGTAACTGCGCAAATCATCATGGCTTGATTATTTTTTTTAATTGGATTATTTTATCCAGGACTGATCAATAAGGTACAGTAACAAGTCCGGGTAAACTACTAGTGTTTTATATTGCAACTGCTCGATGGTTATTGAAATATATATATATATACGTGATGTAAGCAGCTGATAAGCACTTTGTGTTAATTGTTTTAACTGTAACACCAACAGAAATGTCTTTTCTTTCCCTTTGACCTTTTGGTTGCCCCCCAAAGAGACAACTTTTGCGAAGTGTGGATTAGACTACTGTGTATTTTAAGAAATTTGTCCCAAAGTCAGAAACGACATAAATGTAATACATTGAACCACGTTATCTAAAACTCGAAGGGACGGAGAAAAAGCTTTGAGATATCTGAGGATTTGAGATATCGAAGGTAAAATACTTAAAGAATAAGTGGTTGGGACTTCCAAATCACTTCGACATCTCCATGGTATTCGAGATATCTGTGTTCAAGATACCAAATTTCAACTGTATATACAGTTACAGCAAATTCAATCACCATTATAAGAAGTCCCCTCCCTCTTGCATTAGAGTTAAGTGTCTCATCATTCAGGGGTGAGACTGAAATGCATCATTTTTAAAATGACGATTTTTAGTCATAAATAAAATTTTTATTATGACTTAAACTCGTCATTTTTAGAAAACGACGAAAAACAGTCAAAAAATTTAGAGTGTTTCTAGAATACCGAGTTACCTCTCTTTGAAAAATGTTAGATCCACCAACTGAAAAAAGGACAAAAAACATCGTAAACAAACTTCATTTCTCTAATACAGTTGACTACAATACTGTTTATGTTGACAGTACAAATTTCCCAAGCAAAAATAAGAGTGGAAGAGTTATTTGTCAATTTATTTGCATTAAATAGGAAAGAAGACAAAAATGACGATATTCCGTCTTTTTTTCAAAATGGAGGGTCTGAAATATCTCGTTTGTTTTACGGGGCACGTATTCTTCCAGACAATGTACTATATGTTTTTATAGGGCTAAAAGCCATGTAAAAATGGCGAATTAGTTTTACCAAAATTCGACATTTTACCGCTAAATAATAACTTTCACCTTCCATGTTGATGTTCTAACGCACGTGGTCGGCAGTAATTAGTGACCCGGATGAAATGAAACTTGCGTAAACACTCTTCTTTCAGCGGTGAATTCAAATTTCGCTTTTATGTAACCAGGATAGAAGAATTAAGTTGAAAAAGAAAATATGAGGATAGTAAGTCATATTGACAAAAATGACGAAAATACGTAGTTAGTAAATATGACAATTATCCATCATTTTTCAGAAATGGCGGATTTCAGTCTCACCCCAGACTGCTCATACATAATAAATTAAATCATGGATTCTACATTACATAGGGTCTCTTAAAATTTCTTTGTGCACCAGTTATTCTTGAGACAATGTAATATTGTATAAAAGTTTTAGTGAGAAAATCTCTGTTGGTCTAAGAAAGGGGTATCAAGTCATGAACTCATGGTCCATTTAGTTTCTACTCATCATTTTTGAAATTAATGACTTAAACAGGGGTTGACACGCAAAATTTGGCCAGAGTCTCAAGTTATGTTTTCTTTTTCAGTATCTTGCTTTAATCCATAGCGGACCTTTTGAAAAATGAAGGTATAATTGGTAAAATTTAAATGGAATTGAGTACTATGTCCCATCATTTTTCCTTACCACATGGGTATTTATTTATTCTAAATATTTATTTTACATTTACAAAGTTTTCCTTTTACATGTATTTTGCTCTAATTAAACAATTTTCCTTTTGAATATACTTCCTGTTATGAATGATCAAATCATGTTACTTCTGGTAATTTAATAGTACACTACAGTATTACTATAATACTTTTACTTGATACATTTCATGCTTATAGATTAATAACTAAGGCATTTTGATGAATATGCAGTGACTGAGTCTAACTATAATACATCATGACCTAGAACAGTCTGTGTTCTAAGTGAATGAATGCTTAACCATCTTTGTTGTAAGTTAAGTCAGTCTCAATGTTTCTACCATATGTTTGGTATAATCTCTTGGTTAGAGGCTCAATATTTGCTAGGATTATCATGGTTATTGACGATAACGTTCTCCAGTCCCTAGCCCTATCTAGTATGATGCCCGTTTTCTTTATTTGGGTGATCTTCTGTATTTCAGTGCCTCTCCACTGTCCACTAGGTGCTTAATACCATCCACAAGGACTGTATAGGAAATCCTGAATAGAGAAGTTCTAGCTATAAATGTACCTGCTATCTCTTGCCCCTGCATTCTAGCAAAAGACCCACATCTATCGCATGCCACCTCTCTTTTCAAGAAGTAAGTACTATTACGTCTTCTGGTCAGTGATAGATGCTAGCTCTAAGTAAAGTCCGTGACAGTTTTGGATTGGTGCCTGGGAAGCTGAGTTTTTCTTTCCAGATCTACTGTAGATATGACATTCTCCAATTACATAGTTTTGTTCAGTATTCTAGTTCTAGTTGTTGGTACTTTAGCTCTTTGAATACAACTTAATATACAACCAATACATGGCATGTATTGGTTGTATATTAAGTTTTTTTCATTGCCTGTCACTTGTACAGTATATGCATTTTTCTAAAACAAATCAATTTATTATTTACCCGGTAATATAAATTGTTCAAAATAATTTTTATTTGGTGAAATGATGCACATTAACACTCTAGAACATTGTAAAAATAAGTGGCAAAGTTAGCTGTATGTATTAACTCCCTGTCTTCATTAACATTTTGAAATTAATTAAGGAATGATATGTGGTAATTTTTGTCAGGCATGAACAAATGCGCATTGTTAATTTTGTCAGGAACACACTATATGAATATAGAATTACCAGTGTATATTTTTGGAAGCATCTCTTGTGTATGTACCTTTCCATTTTAGATTTAAAAAGACATGAATATATAGATTTTCTGTTCATATCTATGCATGATCATATAAATAATGAACATTTATTTGATTATAAAGTTTTCAGAATTAATTTTGTCAAATTCATTTTGTAATACTGCTTAATCAACATACCCGGCATTTTGAAGGGATTTATCACACAATAATGAAAACTGCAAGACAGTTTTCTGGTTTTGAGGCTTCATATTGCTGTTGATAACTATGCTATAAGCGAGTTCATACATTCAGATGTAGAGATAGTGACTAATGAATATTAAATTTAATGACCTAGATAAGAATAAGCATGTTATAGACATTTTGTAATGTAAATAAATTTAACGCATCAATTTAATATTATATATGGAAGCACTTAATTGTATGAATATTTTTAGAAATGCATGCAAAAAGTGTGCCTTTATAATATTGAAATATACATTAATTCATACATCTTATATTTTGCATAAGAGACCTTGCATTCATACAGTATAGAATTAAAACATTCCATATTATTTACATTGTTGCCACAGATTGGTTTGAACATATTTTATTGTAATTTATAATTACAAAGGGATTGGGCACAAATTCTGAAAACTTATTATGCTCTCTCCCTACATGTAAATTACACATTTAAATCGTCACAGTTAAACATGAAGTTTTAAAGTATACAATAATTGCAAAAGTTTACAAATCGATGCATTTTGCAGATATATAGATACACTTAATTTTGTACAAATGCATATACTGATACATTAATTAATGCTAACAAGGAAATCTACCAGAATGTTTAATAAATGTTTGAACAAAAGAAAAGAGATGTTCATTTTCTGCAGCATTCAGTGAATCTACCCCCATAATAAGACATGTGTATCTAGAATTGTAAAAATTTAAAAATTCTTTTCTGGCTTTCTCATACTCTGGACATACAAAAAAATAATGATAAGTATCCTCAACTTTACCACACGAGCATAAAGGACTTGATATTATATTGCCACAGATACCACAGTATAGTAGACTATGAGATATTACTCAAGGATTTGACATAAATATATGTATATATAACCAGTGAAAACAGTTTTTAAAAGCTCTCGGTAATAGGAATTTATAAGTGAGTGAAAACTATATATATGATACGTGTACTTACCGTATTAGTATTGATTGTCTCCATACCACTTGGAGATGGGGACAGGAGCTATAAAATTTGAGGAAATTAGCTATTTTTTGTACCGTTTTGTTATATCAGAACATGGATATTGGTGTAGCAAAGCCACTGACAACTGTATCATCTTATTTTTGTGTCAATCTGATAGAAATTTACATTTTTTTTTCTTCCATTCCCCAGAAATTAGGGTTGGCAGATCCATAATCCAAGGGAAAAAAATGTGGCCTTATGCATAGTAATATAATAGGTTTTTTTTTTTTTGTGAAACACTGCAAACAAAACAAATTGACAAAAACCATTGGCATTATAATTAGTAATTTTGGTACATCAATCCCAGAAAAATCCAGATAATATTGTGTGTGTATGGATTCATCTTTATAATGTTTTAATTTGTGACTGAAACACAGAAAATGGAATAATTAAGAACACATACACATATTTCCTTATTGGTCTAAGTACAAGTATATACAGATGATTTTTCTCCCATACACAATGTTGACTCCTGTGTTTGACCTTGAGGGTTTATTTTCTTTGGGTCACATGATTTAAGTACAGTATTCAAATGTTTAATTAAAGCACTTAGTAAAATATGTGTTAGTTTTCTAAATAGTAATATTTATTTATGTGTGAGATTTGGAGAAGATTTTCTTTATATGTGTCCTAATTTGTAAAGCCTACATGTACCTGTGTACATACATTATAGGTGTACTTGGTAAGTATTTCACTCTAAAGTACAACCTTGTCATATCTTGACATGTAATTTATGTATGACCATGCAACCAATTTTACAATAGTCAATTATTTATATATAAATTCTTTATGTGTACTTTTGTTATTTATGGGAACATTTGTCAATAATTCAAAAATAATACACTGAAGAAAAAAAGACAGGTAGAAAAAGCAATTAAAATAGATCATGACAGAAGAATTAAAATTTTAATAAAATAAGGAAACCAAGTATGAGGAAAAAAACTTCATAATTCCAAAAATACAGCTATGTTTTCCCTTTTACATGTACCTGTTCCAGAGGGATCCTGGAGCAAGGAAATAAGAGTGTTTTACAAATAAGTTTCCTATCCGTGTAGTTACTTGTCAGGTACAGGTATATATGACTCAATGGAAACAGAAGTGTAAACTTGATGTTGTGATTTCAGAACCAGGATGTTTGAGAGTGGTCAGGCTGGGTACAGGAGACTGTTAGCAGACCAAACCTTCCTCAATAAAGACACAGACGAAGAATTTGTAAGTCAGAATTATTTTTTTTCATGGTTTACATTTTAGGGGGTGACATTTATGTGCCTCTAGGAAGTATAAAATGCTTAGGAAAATTATAAGGATAAAAAGTAATGTGTAAGATAAATATAACAAGGTCTTGTATTAAAAATTACATTTACATAAAGATGTACGTTATAATTATTGTAAAATTATCAAAGACAATACGTGGTTGGAATCAAAAGCATGATTAACATTTTTTAAGCACTGTGCTAATTGTACATGGTTAGACAATTCACATGGGCAAAAAAAATTGATGATGCAGCTAGGTATGTACATTTAAGCAGACATTTTCCAGATGAGTGACCAGGTTAAAGTTTTTGGAGCAAGTCCATTCCCAAGTAATTAATTTATTATAAGCCCTGTGATGACTAAATGCGTATGGATGATGCATGTAAGGATGCACACTACCAGACATGCTTCATAGATTGGATCTGACCTACATTTTCTGGATGAGTGACCAGGTTGAAGGTTTTTGAACCAAGTCCATTCCAAAGTAACTACAAGTGCTATATTGACCAAACTTGCATGGATGATGCATCTAGCCCAGGGGTGCACATTACATGTACCAGAACATTCATTTTTTGTGGGTCTAGATAATATTTTTGTTGAGGTGAGCTTCGAAATCTTTGATTACCTTTTTTTTTTCTTTAGAAAGTTACAATGAATAATTTTTTAATAAATAATAGTATTTTTATTATTTTGTTTAATTTTTGTATCAACATTTAACAATAAAATTAATTGTCAGGTACAGATAGTTTAAAATAAAGAACACATTACATTATAAATGACAGAACAAATGTATAAAAAAAAATGTTTAATTGCTTGAAAAATCTGAAAATATTGGCAAAAAGCCCATTCAAAGCTAATTTTAAAAACATTTAGAATTACGGTTAAATTTAAGCTCTAATGAGACTGAAGACGGAAACTTCAAATTGTCATTTTATGTAAAGAATTTATTTTTGATTTGCATTTGTTGATGATGATCTTCATATCATAGTATAAGATACATGTACAGTGATACATTGAATGGGCCTTGTTTTAAATGTACTTAATATTATTATCATTATACATTTATAGAGATGTACCTTTATAATACCAGCTTGTCAGCAGCTTATAATGGGAATGAGTACAGGTGTGTCATTGTCCCAATTATCAGTTGAACTCTTTCATTAAACAACTATATAACGGAGATATGTACATTATAAAGATAAACATTGTACTGAATTTGAACTACACATACTAAGTATCCGTTATACATCCCATGCTGTTGAACATTATCAAAGTATAAGTACTAGGTACAGGTGTATACTGCACTCATTGTAAGTAGGATCAACGCACACTTACCATGAATATATATACAATGTGTACGTTATCAGATGTGAATAAGTGCAATTAGACCACATCAAATCAGCAAAGTCAAATCATTAACTAATGTTAATTAAGAATTAATTTTATAACTATTTGTACAAGCTCTTCATAACATTTATCCTACTAATGTGATTTAAGAAGGAAAAATTTCACAAGATTTAATTAAATTCCTGAGTGATCAATACAAAGGCTATGCATGACCTTTACATTAATATTTTATTTTTTGATCTATGTGTGCCAGATTATTTTTTTTTACTCCATCAGTGTAGTGTGTGTATATTTACTTTAGTGCATTCAATCAAGATTAAAAGAAGATAGAATTTACAAAAAATCTTACTTTGACAGTTTTCTTGAATTAAAGCATGATAGAACATTGCACCAAAATTACCAGTATGTGGTCACCTGCGTGGCGCAGTGGTTAGAGCGTTTGCTCTAGAGTCACGATATAAGGAGGAGATCCTTACGTGTTGGTTTGAATCCACTGCAGGACATGGAGGCCAGTCTTTTGGATGAGACCGTATAAATTGAGGCCCCGTGTCGCAGTAGGTGCTGGCATGAAAAAGATCCCGCACTGCTCAATGGCCCTGAGTGCCAAGTATAGGTCAAAATTTGCAGCCCTCCACTGGCAAGTGGTGGCGTCTCCATATGAGTGAAAAATTATCAAGAGGGACGTTAAACAACAAACAAACAAACAAACCAGTGTGTGAATCCCACTCATACAGTATTTAACATGTCTATATAAGTAAGAAGATGAAGTACTTTTGAGCAGTACACAACAATCACTGGTGACTGGTCAAAATACTTACATGGATATATATTAATGGTGGTACAAGTATACATCATTGGTGTTCTAAGTATTTTAAAATTCACCATTCTTGTGATAAATTTTTCGTCTGATACACACAGATCAGTACCTAAATCCTCTGTTGACAAATATTTATGGATACAAAGATGACGGTTATAAGGAGGGCAGGGTTTGACACTAAGGTACGTCTGACTGACCCAGTCTAGTAAATGAGTAGTCCAGTCGTGTAAAATGTACATGAACTAGACCGATTGGTCATATTGATAAAGTAACTGTTAAACCCCATTTCAGTCTTCCAAAGCAGTATTCAAAAAACTCTTTGAGAAATTTTCTTATTCTTGTAATCACAACCATCGCTCTGTTTACGAAGAAAAAAATTCTGGTATGACACAATCGCTGTTTTTAGCCACAGACACCTGAAGTGTGCATCTACCCTCTCCCCTGGAGGGTCTTTATAATCTGTTGTATCCCTCTGTTGACAGGTGTGTTATTGATACAAGAATGACCATTATAAGGAGGGTCTTCTTAATTTGTTGTATCCCTCTGTTGACAGGTGTGTTATAGATACAAGAATGACCATTATAAGGAGGGTCTTTATAATCTGTTGTATCCCTCTGTTGACAGGTGTGTTATGGATACAAGAATGACCGTTATAAGGAGGGTCTTCATAATAATTTGTTGTATCCCTCTGTTGACAGGTGTGTTATGGATACAAGAATGACCATGAAAAGGAGGGTCTTTATAATTTGTTGTATCCCTCTTTTGACAGGTGTGTTATAGATACAGGGATGACCATTATAAGGAGGGTCTTTATAATCTGTTGTATCCCTCTGTTGACAGGTGTGTTATTGATACAAGATTGACCATATAAGGAGGGTCTTTATAATCTGTTGTATCCCTCTGTTAACAGGTGTGTTATAGATACAAGAAAGACCATTATAAGGAGGGTCTTTATAATCTGTTGTATCCCTCTGTTGACAGGTGTTTTATGGATACAAGATTGACTGCATAAGGAGGGTCTTTATAGTCTGTTGTATCCCTCTGTTGACAGGTGTGTTATAGATACAAGAATGACCGTTGTAAGGAGGGTCTTTATTATTGGCCGCAGCAGCGGCCGATCTATTTGTGGTTGTGTTAGAATGTGCACATGGGGAAATGAGACATTAATTTTTTATTGCTTCATTGTAATAATTCCTCATTCATAACAAACATAAAAGTTACGAATAAAAGCCTTAAAAATTTGCTTAAAACTAAGTCTAAATAGTTGTTATTATACATCAATTTGTTTTTCATTTCTCGTCAGGTATTTATTAATTTAATGATTTTACAAAAAGTTGTTTCATGAACTGCTCCCTAACATGGGCGTGCGTAAGATATAAAAAGAAAACGTATTGAGTTTTCGGATATGAAGTACAGTGCCTAAAATAATTAATAAATTGGAATAAGAACTGAATTTGGTTTTGAATTTACACTGCAGTTGCAAGTTTTTTTTTTTCTGCACTTCACACACATATTTATCACAACACTGATCGGCATTATCACCTGACAAAAATCCAGAGTATCAGCACGTGAAGCTTAAATGTGTCCTTTTTGTCAACATTCAGTCATTCATAATCAATTATTTTAGATATTTGTTGTATTTTTCATTGAATCAAATAATTTGATGATAATACATTCCCATTCTTAATTACAGTCCGATTTTCATATTAGTGAATTTCTTTTTATTTGCATAAATATTTAACAATCCGCGATCACTGTAAACTAGTGTAAAAATGCACAGAAAAGTAAAGCAAGTGTAAAAATGTATCATATACTTTTTCAGTTTGGATTTTTTCTTTGTACTCTTTCTTGTGGAAATTCTTCAAAATGAAATATATCTTTGTGGCCGATTTGATGCTTTAACTTTTAAATTTTGCTTTAAATTTTAATTTAACCTGTAATCTGTTGTATCCCTCTGTTGACAGGTGTGTTATAGATACAAGGATGACCGTTGTAAGGAGGGTCTTTATAATCTGTTGTATCCCTCTGTTGACAGGTGTGTTATAGATACAAGAAAGACCATTATAAGGAGGGTCTTTATAATCTGTTGTATCCCTCTGTTGACAGGTGTGTTATAGATACAAGATTGACCATTATAAGGAGGGTCTTTATAATCTGTTGTATCCCTCTGTTGACAGGTGTGTTATGGATACAAAAATGACCATTATAAGGAGGGTCTTTATAATCTGTTGTATCCCTCTGTTGACAGGTGTGTTATGGATACAAGAATGACCATTATAAGGAGGGTCTTTATAATTTGTTGTATCCCTCTGTTGACAGGTGTGTTATGGATACAAGAATGACCGTTGTAAAGAGGGTCTTTATAATTTGTTGTATCCCTCTTTTGACAGGTGTGTTATGGATACATGAATGACTGCATAAGGAGGGTCTTTATAATCTGTTGTATCCCTCTGTTGACAGGTGTGTTATGGATACAAGGATGACCGTTGTAAGGAGGGACTTTTTATGGTCCTGGTCTTTCTTACTGGGGGCCTAATTCTATTGCTGTTACAGTGGCGCCCACAGATGGTGTGCTATCTAAGGAAAAAACGCTGTTCACTCAATCAAGCTGACACAATTCTACTACAGGTATTGTTTTAATTGGAAATTTTTTTTTTATTTTTTAAAATATTGTGAGCTAGTATTACCATCTATTGAATGTAAATTTCTTAACCATTTAATGATTTGCAGAATGCATATCCATGTATAATATTTTTAAAGAGGCATAGACACACTTGCATTGCTTGTTTTGTTTACAATTTTATTTAATAAATAACTTTGGTTTAATGATTTGAACTTACATGAAAAACCTTAATACTCTTCAGGGCTCTAATTGGCGACTAATTTAGTTGCCATGGTGCCTAAAATTTTTGATTGGCACCTAAAAATTTTTCATTAGTCGCCATATTGGCAACCATTTTAATTTGGCAATTGTATAATTATATAAATTTTAGCGAAAGCAAAAAGAAATTTAAAGAAGAGCGAATTATTTTTAGCAATGGACATATCATGTGTTCTTAATCACATCATGGGTCCCTATATTGATTGCTATTAAATTTATAAAGTTGGTGCCTTAAAGAAATAATTGCCTGGTGACTAAAAATTTGCATTGGTGACTAAATCTTTTTGATAAGGCGCCAGCTGACGCCTAAATTTTTGAGGTCCCTTAGAGGCCTGCTCTTTGGCAATGGCATATTCCATAACCTCACACCAAACACCTGTGTTTGTAAACGTTGGTATGAGCTCTGCTATTATTTATGTTCTACTAAGTGTGTTCAATTTGCTAACAATGCTCACATCAGTGAACACTTACACTTCTATTTTGACTTTTCTTCATTAAACATAGTTTTAATATCTTTTATTAATACACCTTAAATTTCCCATTTTCCTTGAATATGAAGGATAGAATTTTAGCTTGTGAAAGTGCAAGGATGTATGACAATCGAACACCCCCGAAATTTATAGTTATAATAATTTTCAGATAAATGAAGTTTCTGAACAGGTTTCATAATAAATTGGTTTGAAACGCCTCTTGCAATATGCATGTCATGAAATTCTATAGAAAATTTTGGTATAAATGTCAAATTTGTGTCTATGCATCAATGCCCCTTTAAAATACCAAACAAATAATTTTACTATATTCTTAATAGAGAGGACTGATGCTATATTCTTCAAATATGTCATGAACGGTATTGTTAGTTTTAAGTAATGTTCTTTTTCTTTGTTTTTACAAAAGTTCAATTTAATTAAACATTAATTAACTTAGTCTGTTTAATTGATATTCTTTAGCATAATTTACACTCCACGTTTTTAGGATACGTACAAGCAGTTTAGCCTTGCCTTCATTAAGGAGAAGACATTTCCACGACCGTAAGTACATCGATCACAACCTGTAACATACGTATCAAATATACACATCACTCAACACTATACAGCAAGTTAAAATCTTAATTACAGTTAAAAATTTCCATATATTTAAGGTGTGTGTGTTATCCATGTGTACTAGTGTGCTAGTTAAGTATTTTCAATGTAGATTTTTGAATAAATTAATTAAGGATTCTGGATAAAATATAAATTTATTAAAATATTCCTTTTGGAATTTTCTCTGCATATTCTTTTATACATGTGAAGACAACATGTACATCCTTTCTATAACTTCTATATAATACAAAACATTGTCGTATAACCAGAGTTTGTTTTATTTTACACACAGATGTCAAGTTCTGTAAGTTATATGTCATAGCTGTTATGTCGACATGACTGCCTCATTGTCATGTTGACATGACTGTCTGGGTGTAGTATACTAATGTATCTAGTCTGATTCTAGCACTGAAACATTCATACTACATCAATTATCATTGTATACAAGTGAAACAGAACTAAGTGAACAGAATCCTTTATAATGACTTTAAAAGCGGTTATGGTTTTGTAAACAAATCATTGTATAGTATTTGTAACATTACAACATGTTAATGGCAGAGTGCTGCCCTTTTCATTGAAATTTTCTTTTTGGTTGGCTTTTCAAACATAAATCATTCCATATTGAAAGAAATGCACTCTGAATGACTTCAGTTTAAATGGTGAGACGTTTGATAGTTTTACTTGTAACTCAGAATCAAATATGGCTGACCCGATTGAACTTGGAGGCTAATCCGTGGTGAAAATGTATCTTATCTCTCGAGATAGATCAGATCTTGTAAGGGTGACCAGAAGCAGATATATTTGAAATCATTACCCTGTGATAGAGTGTAATAGATAAGTGTGTAAAATAAAGGCTTATGAACAAAAATTGCATGGAAAAAAATAGAGTAGGAGTGACGGCAACCTAGTACTCGGAACTTCAGATATTTTTATGCCCCCAGATCGAAAGATCCCGGGGGTATATTGTTTTTATCCTGTTTGTCTCTCTGTTGTCAACTTTAACCTTGCCCATAACTTTTGATTGGTTGGAGCTATGACTTTCATATTTCACATGTATATTCCTTGTGACAAGACCTTTCTTTGGGTACCATCATATTTGACCTTTTGACCTCGACCTTGGAGTTTGACCCACTTTTGCAAAATTTTATGAGACTTTAACCTTGGCCATAACTTCTGAACAGTTGGTACTTGGGGTTTCAAACATCACATGTGTATTTTTTGTGACAAGGCCTTCCTTTGGATACCAACAACTTTGACCTTTTGACCTTGACCTTGGAGTTTGACCTACTTTTGAATAACTTTAACCTTGGCCATAGCTTTTGAACAGTTGGTGCTTGTGGTTTCAAACTTCACATGTGTATTCCTTATGACAAGACCTTCCTCAGGATATCAACTTCTTTGACCCTTTGACCTTGACCTAGGAGTTTGACCTACTTTTGAAAAACTTTAACCTTGGCCATAACTTTTGAATGGTTGGAGCTAGGGCTTTCATACTTCACATATGTAATCCTTGTGACAAGACCTTCCTTTGGATACCAACAACTTTGACCCTTTGACCTTGACATAGGAGTTTGATCTTTCGAAAAACTTTAACCTTGGTCATATCTTTTGAATAGTTGGTGCTAGGGCTTTCATACTTCACATATGTAATCCTTGTGACAAGATCTTCCTTTTGATACCAACAACTTTGACCTTGACGTTTTACTTACTTTTAAAAAGCTTTAACCTTGGCCATAACCTTTGAACAGTTGCAGCTAGGGCTTTCAAATTTCACAGGTATATTCCTCGAGACAAGACCTTTCTTTGGATAACAACATTTTTTATCTTTTGGCCTGGATTTTGACTTGCATTTGAGAAACTTTAACCTTCGCCATAAGCTGCCATATGTAGGCATCAGTGTTTCACAAACACATCTTGTTTCTAAGTTTTAATGAAATAAGATAATTAAAATGATTTATTTATAATAAAGTACAACATTCTGCCTTTCAACAAACCTTTTTTATGGATTTTTTAAAAATAAAAATATAAGTTTATTAGATTTTGAAGTGAGGCACATAGCGTTAGGTCCCTTCTCCCCTATTTTACTATATACCAGTTTTTGCTCAGGATTGTCTCATGGCCCTGTGCACTGATTCCTTTAAGAAATAGATGAACTCTATTGATATTAAGGTTACAAGGTCAAGGGTCAAACTGGACATAGGAAGAAGATATTGACCACTCAATATCTTGAGAACCCTTTGCTTGACACACATGAAACTTGGTACACTGGGTCCCCTGAGGAGTAAATGACCACTGTATATTTTGAGGTCAAAAGGTCAAGGTTAATCTACTCTAGAATTGGAAATATCTTGTGAACTACAAGGTCAAGTGTCAAACTGAACATAGGAAGTATTGACCACAAAATATCTTGAGAATCCTCTGCTTGACAGACATGAAACTTGTTATATTGGTTTTCCCAAAGGAATAGTTGACCACTGTATATTTTGAGGTCACAAGGTCAAAGGTCAAGGGTCAAACTTCTTGAAACATAGAAAGATGTTGTTTGCTCAATATTTAGAGAACTCTTTACTTGGCAGAAATTAAACTTTATACAATGGTTTCCCTAAATATGACTCCTATTGATTTTGAAGTCACAAGATCATAGGTCAGGAGTCAAACTGGACATAGGAAGATATTACCGGTAACCTCTTACAATCATAAGAATCCTTTGCTAGACAGACATCAAACTTGGTACACTGGTATTACCTAGGGAGTAGATGACCTCTGTTGATTTTGAGGTCACAGGGTCTGGTCAATGGTCAGACAACATAGACACTAGACATAGGAAGAAATTTTACTGCTCAGTTTCTTGAGAACTGTTTGCTTTACACACATCAAGTTTGGTACACTGATACCCTATAAGATGTACCCCTTATGATATTGAGGTCTGATAGAGGTCAAACTTAGTATTATGTTTGCTGCTGAGATGACCAATTATTTTCACTATCATGACAGACATTCATAATTTGTTCCCATTTTAATATTGCCACATGGGGGACATATATAATTCTCCAACACTTCTTGTTTCATTTACATCCTCTTATAAAGTTATGGTGTATGATATTTCAGGATTTCAAAGTAATCAGATTAACTTGCATCTAATAGTAATGGGCACTTGTATCACATTCAAGGGGTGCACTGTATTAACTTTGTTTGCTTATTTACTTAGGGGTATCTTTATCCACCATTTGATATGATTTTAGTGAGGAAAGCACATTGAGTTTAGATAAGAACCTCTCTTACTTTATAACCAAAAATATCATCCTTTAAAAGATACTGTCAGTGTGTAAAGAATATTGGCTGACATGTTGAAACCATGTTTTGATTCAATGAATCAAATGCACAGCTGTATGTAATATATTGTCTTCATATTCACTGTAGAGTAAAAATATGGGGAAAAAAATGTTTGTGCTATGTTTGCACTAATCATCTTGCTTTGTTTGTCAAATGGTTATTTAGTCAAGATAGTTTGGAAAGATTTATACGTACTAGATACATGTAGCTCTGCATGAACATTCAATAATTTGTCAAATTCATTGAGTTGATTGACTTTTATATTAAATCAATATGATTTGATCATTTAGTCTTGTCTTTTTGTATTTGGTTTATACTGAACATTGACTGTAAGTTTTGGTAAAGTTGTTCTGAGGCTTATTTTTAAGTAAAAAAACAAAATACAATACATTTTCTAAAATGGTAACTTGTAGTGGTGTTAGTACACAATGTACTATTATCAAATTGGGCAAATTGTAAAGTTTACTATTTAAATTACATCATTGACATGGTTTCTGCTTGAATACCTGGTAATCATTTAATTAAAATTTGTTATTAATTGATATATTTATATAATACAGGGAGGATTTTGTATCCAGTAACAATGCAGGTGAAGATTCTGATTATGAAAGTCCATCTGACACAAGTCGACTCACCAATTCTCAGGTAAAAAATAGGGCTACTTTCTGATGCTATATACATGTTGATTATAAATAAACAATAAAAATGATACTCAAAATTATCAAATTATATGTACCGGTATACATTTATTTCAGGATGTAGTTCGACTACGCTACTTTGACCATCAGCATGTACGATATATTTGGGACAGGGGCAGTCAGATATTCTCAAAACTCAAGTAAGGCTTCATCTGCTTTTATTTACATAGACAGAATATTGGTTTGAAGTTATTCCTAAAGTTGATAGTGATTTTTTTTTCAGAGATCTTTCAGAAGGAACTAAATGTGTGAAGATTCAGGAGAGTTTTCATGGATTAACAGCAAAAGAACAAAAACAAAAGTACGTGAAATTTTTATGTAAAGGTTGTTAAAAATTACTGTCAGACATGAATATAAGTCATATATATGGTAAACATTCCGGCCTCTTTATAATTTTTGCTTCTTTCAGGGAAGTTGTATATGGGGAAAATACAATTGAAGTGGAAGTTAAATCCTATTGGAGACTCTTTATTGAGGAGGTAAATGCTTCATTCTAAAATATCTTACATTAGTGCCATTAGTTATAAACTTCTAACTCTTGAAACTTTAAATTCTACTGAAACAAAATACAAATCAAGACTAAATATCCATTATGTCTTTGAGAATTTCAACTTCTGAACAGGCCCCAAGACCATAAACTGAGAATAGACTTTAATCAAAATTTTGATGTTTAATATCTTGAGTTTTCTTTAATGTATTTGCTTAAAAATTTACAATTTTATATAACATTTAAATTCAAATATATGATGAAAATTTTATTTCAATATCAAAATTATTTCAAAAGTTATATTGGTTTGAAATTTTGACTTAAGTCTGTTCTCAGTTTATTGTCTTGGGACCAGGTTTGGGGCTGAAATGGTTTTACCAATAATCCTGATTTAGAGGGACTCTATTACAGGTGATGAACCCGTTCTATGTGTTCCAGATTGCCAGTATCATTCTATGGCTGTTTGACCAGTACTATTATTATGCTGCCTGTATTTTATTTATATCTTTGGTGTCTATTGGAATTTCCCTGTATGAAACCAAAAGAGTAAGGATGTTAATGTGTCTCTACTTTCCATATACATCTTTAATACTGAAAAATAATTTTTTAAGTAGTGCCCTTATGTAATTGTTGATTTTTCACAATTTGTGAAATTTTAACATTCAAGTACTAGTGGTTTACCTGTATTTGAAAGCATTACTAGGGGATATTTGTCCTTTTGTGATTACCAGTGTTGAAGTTAACATGTAACATCTTTTTCTTCTTAGCAAAGTGTGACTCTTCATGACATGGTTACTACACATGCTCAGACCATCAGTGTTTGCCGTGGGGAGGAGGTTTATGAGGATGTACCCACGGGGGATCTGGTACCTGGTGATGTCATTGCTATCCCCCAACATGGATGTGTAATGACATGTGATGCTGTGCTGGTCACAGGCACCTGTATTGTTAACGAGAGCATGTTGACCGGTAAATTTCCCAGTAATCCCTTAGATACTTTTTTTTCACTAAAATAGGTTGTTGCATTGTATTGTAATGGCTGTTTTCAAACAAAAGATGGATTTCAATTTGAAAGACATTGAAAATTACCATTCACCGAGCCAGCGACCATTTTTTCTTACTTATTGTCTTCAGGTGAAAGTGTCCCTGTGACAAAGACCCCCCTGACTCATCAGGAAGATGAGGAAGTATACTCCCCTGATATCCACAAGAGACACACCCTCTTCTCAGGGACACAAATTCTGCAGACCAGGTTCTATGGCAATTCAAAGGTCAAGGCAGTCGTAGTTCGCACAGGTAAAATGGGTTTTCAGTAATGTATTCACACAAGCAAATCAATGCATACAACACTGATGTGTTTCTCTTTTTTTTTTTGTTTTAAGAAACTATACTAAGCTATTTGAACTGTAAAAGAAAATAAGGATTTGAATGATATCTAGTGACAAATTTGGAAAATTAGGGGTGTATTAAAAATCTTTCAATTTTCAGGCTTCAGAACAGCCAAAGGAGAACTAGTGCGAGCCATATTATTTCCCAAACCTTTGGACTTCAAGTTTTACAGAGATGCAATGAAATTTATCCTATTCCTTGGATGTATGGCTGCTCTGGGGATGACCTATAGCATTGTAATCTATGTAAAGCAAGGGGTCAGTAAAAAAAAGCAGTCTGACTATAAACTAGTGAAAATCTTACAGGAAATTCTCTCTTTCTATATACATGTATATACAGAATATGAAGATAAGAAAAACAAATCTTTTTTGACATGATGTGCAGCTAATGTTTTTACATAATCATTTGTATCATGCTATGTTGATCATATTGTAATGCATGTACTTAGTAAGATTGTATTATCTAACACTGTTTTAAGAGATACATTTGACAGAAGTAGATATAGAAATGCTTTTCAGATTTGTCTTGTGCTGCTGTTGTAGGTTTACCCAATAAGGATTGTTGTGAGAGTTCTGGACATCATCACCATTATTGTCCCTCCAGCTTTACCGGCAGCCATGACGGTGGGGACCGTGTTTGCTCAAGGTCGGCTGAAAAAGAAAGGAATTTACTGCATCAGTCCTCCTCGAATTAACTTCTGTGGGAGGCTGGATGTCTTCTGCTTTGATAAAGTAAGCATTGTTATTTGAAGTATTGACACAGAATAAATTTTTGGGAATTTTATTAGAAAATATGTAGAAGTGTATTATTAGCAGAGAATAGAAGTTAAGAAAGAAGGCTAGAGTAAGAAGGGTGAAATCTGTATTACCATGAAAATTAGTTTATACACACATAAATAAAACTTGAAAAAATCTTTGTAATATGATCTTAATTCTAAAGCTTATATTTGATTCATAGGGAAGAGATATGCATTTCTTCTGCAAAAATAGAATAACATTGCTCTGAATTTGTTTCTTATTTCTTTTGCATAGACTGGTACCTTAACAGAGGATGGATTGGACATGTGGGGAGTACTGCCAATTAAAAACCAGGGGTACAAGTTTAATTCATAAACATCATTTTGGAAATGCATTTGTGGTGTTCTTAAAATGACCATTATAATCATATTATAAACCCTTTTAAATCATCTTCTGTAAATAGGTTTTGTGGAGTAGAGGAGGATCCCTCTAAGTTAGAGGTGGGGCCCTTCATCATCTGTATGGCTACCTGTCACTCCCTGACTGTGATAGATGGGGAACTATCAGGGGATCCTCTAGACCTCATTATGTTCAACTCCACTAAATGGGTAACCTGTACCAACATTTAAAAACTGATTCAGTGTTCCTTTGGCAACCTTTCTTAGAGAAAAAAAAATCACATTATCAATTGAACTATGATATGGAATAAGAATTTGTCACCAATAATAAGGTCTCTTTGATGGTATAAAGCCTGTCTTATATAATCTGTGTAGGTTTTGGATGAGCCAGGTAAGGACAGCAGTAAATTTGACACCATTATGCCTACTGTGGTTAGACCTTGTACCAAGGACACCTTCACTGCAGAAGTGAGTAGAAGTTCTCTTAACAGCTTATATAATACATGTATTTAATATCTAAAGTATGGTGTGATGAACAGGTTGATATATTTAATCATTTTATATTGTTGTTTTAAGAAATATATAACAGTGATAATATGCTGTATTTTCCAGAACCCTTTTGAAGTGGGCATTATTAGACAGTTTACATTCTCCTCGTCTGTGCAAAGAATGAGTGTTATCACACGTACACTGAGTGAGGAGGGGATGGAACTCTACTGTAAGGGGGCACCAGAAAAGATTGCCTCCCTTTGTTTGCAAGAAACTGGTAAGTCTTACCTTACAAGAACCACTAAACTTTACATCTTGGAAATAATTAAAGTGTTTCCAGTGGCTAATTAAATTTATTTCCTTTCAAAATTGCAGTTCCGCATGAGTTTCCAGATATCCTTCACCGGTACACCATTCAGGGTTACAGGGTCATAGCATTAGCTTACAAAAAACTGGATCCTAAACTCACCTGGCATCAGGCTCAGAGAATCTCCAGGTAAAAGAGGCACTGAATGAGTAAATTACTCAGGAACTAACACCACTGTCAGCATTCCTGGAAATAAAGTGAAATTTTTTTTCTTGCGTGGATAGATTGTGAGTTTAAGCTAACATAGATGTTGGTTTTTTGTTTCAGGGATAAAGTGGAATTTGACATGAATTTTTTGGGAATGATTGTTCTACAAAACAAACTTAAACTACAAACAAAACCTGTCATCCACAAACTGGGGGATGCTAAAATTAGAACTGTAATGGTTACAGGTAAGGTGCTATAGTCTTAATCATTGCAAAATTATTTATTAAATTGTAGATGTACCGGTAGTCAGGAAGATTGTTTCACATGTATGAACATTCAGTGGTGATGATTTATGCTTCCCTGCTTTTTAGCTCACCTGAGCCAAAGGCTCAAGTGAGCTTTTCTGATCAAAATTTGTCCATTGTCTGTCGTCGTTGGCGTTGATGTTGGCGTTGTCATCGTCGTTGTCGTAAACTTTTCACAATTTCATCTTCTTCTCCAGAACCACTGGGCCAATTTCAACCAAACTTGGCACTGAGTATCCTTGGATGAAGGGGATTCAAATTTGTTCAAATGAAGGGCCACGCCTTCTTCCAAGGGGAGAAAATTGCGAATTCATGAAAAATTTATGGCATCTTTCAAAAATCTTCTTCTCAAGAACAACTGTGTTAGAAAGTTTGAAACTTATGTGGAAGCATCCTCAGGTAGTGTAGATTCAAATTTGTTCAAATCATGACCCCCAGGGGTAGGGTGGGGCAACAGTGGGCTATCAAAGTTTTACATAGGAATACATAGGGAAAAATCTTTAAAAATCTTCTTCTCAAGAACAGCAAAGTCTTGATTGGTCATATTTATATGGAAGCATCCTGAGATAGTGTTGATTCAAGTTTGTTCAAATCATAACCCCCAGGGGTAGGGTGGGGCCACATTGGGCAATCAAAGTTTTACATAGGAATACATGGGAAAATATTTAAAAACCTTCTTCTCAAGAACAACTAAGCCAAGATTGGTCATATTTATGTGGAAGCATCCTCAGGTAGTGTTGATTCAAGTTTGTTCAAATCATGACCCCCGGGGTAGGGTGGGGCCACAGTGGGCGATCAAAGTTTTACATAGGAATACATAGAGAAAATCTTTAAATATCTTCTTCTCAAGAACAGCAAAGTCTTGATTGGTCATATTTATATGGAAGCATCCTGAGATAGTGTTGATTCAAGTTTGTTCAAATCATGACTCCCACGGGTAGGGCGGGGCCACAGAGGGCGATCAAAGTTTTACATAGGAATACATGGGGAAAATCTTTAAAAATCTTCTTCTCAAGAACAACAAAGCCAATATTGGTCATATTTTTATGGAAGCATCCTCATGTAGTGTTGATTCAATTTTGTTCAAATCATGACCCTTGGGGGTAGGGTGGGGCCACAGTGCGCGATCAAAGTTTTACATAGGAATATTTAGGGAAAATCTTTAAAAATCTTCTTCTCAAGAACAGCAAAGTCTTGATTGGTCATATTTATATGGAAGCATCCTGAGATAGTGTTGATTCAAGTTTGTTCAAATCATGACCCCTGGAGGTAGGTAGGGCCACAATGAAAGTTTAAACTTGTAGGGAAAAATCACAGTTAGTCAAAAAAAATGTGTAAGCATCCTTAGTTAGTGTAGGTTCAATTTTGTTGAAATCATACCCCCCAGCCTCCTCCCTTTTAGGGGTAGATCGGGACCACTTATGCATTTAAGCATTGCAATACTAAACTGATTTTTGCTTTTTTCGCAGCCACAGTGCTCAGGTGAGCGATGTGGCCCCTGGGCCTCTTGTTATTTGTTCTTTTTACTATAGGTGACATGATACAGACAGCTATTAGTGTAGCTAGGAATTGTGGGATGGTTCCCCCAAAAGACCGCATAATTATTGTCGAGGCTTCCCCTCCTGATGCTCACAGTCCGGCCAGTATAAAGTGGGTCATGGCAGAGACACCTGACGAAGGAACTGATACATATACTGACTCAGACTATAATGAGGTCAGAGTTCACTTCAGTACTAAAAGATCAAAGTTTAAAATTTGAAAAAAACCTTATAAGCTAGATTTCAAAATTGTTTTAATGTGATTTTCTCGTATGTTTCTACGGTTAGTGTAAAAGTTTGGCCTAATTACCTGTATAATGTTGTTCATATACTTAGACAATACTTTTCGGGGAAAGAATGACTTACTTTTTTGTTGTGCTGTAGTGTGTTCACGTAGATTTGGAGAATCCTCACAAGACTCAGAACTTCCACTTTGCTGTCAGCGGGCATTCTTTTGGAGTTCTATCTACTCATTTTCCTGAATACATTCCAAGGGTAAGGTTATCATAATGGATTGAATAAAAGAAGACATCCAGGTTGAAAGTCATTACTAATGATATGTGTATATATATATACCTTTACATGGAAAAATAGCTAAAATTCAATAAACAAGTGGAGGATAGATGATTATAGGAAGTCATCACTATATTTACCTTAAAATCCTTGAAGAGTCCACTTAGTGAAATAGTGCCAGGGCTTACTCTTTAATTTGAATCAATAAAGAACAATAACTCTGGACTGGAAATGTTACAGATTAAATTTGTTTGTGGTTGCAGGTAGTAGTGAAGGGGACAATATTTGCTAGAATGTCTCCAGATCAGAAACTTCAACTTATTGAGGATCTACAGAATATTGGGTAAATGTTTATGTAGATTGAGAATGTGATAGATGTAGGCTATGCGACACTAAAACTACTTTGTTTGTATTATAAAGTTTTAAATGAATTTAATTATATGTATTTCCTATTTTCCCATGGCATTTGTGGCTTTAAATTTTATTCTTTTTTTGAATCACCAGAACTTAAGTTAAGATGAAAAATACAACTATTTGCAGAGTAATTTTCTATATCAATTTATACCTCTGTAATGAACCAAATCAGCTTAAATAATTGGAATTGATGTAATGTTAGATGAGGCCATTTGTCTGAATGCTTTAATTCTTTATCATCAGGTACAATGTTGGTATGTGTGGAGATGGTGCTAATGATTGTGAGGTAGGTAAAGTTTGATGAGATTTGTTTGATTTTCTCCTTAGATGTCTCAAGTCAAAGATTTCTCCTATTTGTAACATTGAAATAAGTAGAGTTACAATAGTGAGCAGAGGGAGGGTAAATGTGCTGAAACTCTGAAGGAACAGAGATCAAATGGGAAGAGAATGCTGAGCAAATGTAGAAAAGGGTAGTAGAACATTTTAAGGACTGAAAGAGAAGTAAATATTTGCCTAAATTATTTTAATCATCACTGTTTCTTTATCAGGCCCTGAAGGCAGCTCATGCTGGGATTTCTTTGTCTGAAGCAGAGGCTTCAGTAGCTGCTCCATTCACATCACGCATTCCAAATATAGAATGTGTTCTACAAATCATGAGGTACATCTCTTTACTGCCAGTATGTCTATGTCATTCTAAATCGTACAGTGTATAGTAAGAGAAGGAATGATTTTCTGTTTTGATTTCAGGGAAGGGAGAGCCGCCCTTGTGACATCATTTGGTTGTTTTAAGTATATGGCTCTCTACAGCTTTATACAATATGTCTCTGTTCTTATTTTATACACAGTGAGTATCCATCTCAAAAAATAAATTAAATCTCATATTTATTGATGTTATAGAAATATTTTATAAAGATTGGTACAAACAAAAGCCTTATAAACTTGACATTCAGCTATAAATTGTACATATATTGTATGTAAATGATATGATGTTTACATTTACAGTTTGACGCTAACCTGGCAGACATGCAGTTCCTGTACGTTGACCTGGTTATCACTACCAGTGTGGCTGTGCTCAGTAAGTCTGCTGCTTTGTTTCATTAGTATTCATCAGATTATAGAATTTCTGCTGTATATACTGAATATTCATACATGATGGAGCCCAGTTTATAAAGTGTAGGTGCTTTCATCTTGGAACAATTTTAAATGCCTCCTATTCAGAAATAAGCTTCCACAGATGAAGGTTTTTTTTTTTAAAAAAAAAAAAAAGATTGTTCCAAACCCTGTGTATCTTTTTTATGTTAAATCTCATTTATATTGTAAATCTGTAGTCATTAAATAGCATAAAAATTATATCTGAAAGCAGTCTGTGTTTGTATTTTATCAGTGGGATATTCCAGTGCATACCATAAACTGGTTCCCCAGCAGCCCCCAGGAAGTCTTGTGAAGCCTAGTAACCTTCTGTCAATCATTGCACAAGTCATCCTTGTCATCATCTTCCAGATCGCAGCCTTCCTCTATCTTCACTATCAACCATGGTGAGACTCTATTTCTACATTATAAGGGAGGTAACTCCTGATTATGATAGTCCAAGAAAAGTACAGTATAAATGGAAGTGCCTTACCATTATATCATTAAATTTTATAGAAATGTTTCCATTAGACTTATCAGTGAATGACACTAGATTAGTTATTCCTCTTGAAATAGTTCATATCTATATATGCTTGTTCAAATTATCTTCTTGCTGATCAAAAGTACATCGGTTTGTAATGTGAGGATACCTTATTCTCTGTAAGTTATTTGACTATTTCAAAAATGTTTGCAGGTATATCCCAGTGAAAAAAGATCTGAACGCTGACAATACTTACTGCTGGGAAACGTCTGTGATATTTCTTGTGTCAACATATCAGTACATTGCATCAGCTTTTGTATTCTCCAAGGGACCACCCTTCAGACAACCAATTTATAAAAATGGTAAGATTTTGCCGTGTATGATCATCATATATGATTCAAGAGAAGGAGTTGATGTTATTGAAGAGATGACAGAGGACATTAACTGATATGATGCTGTGTTTTTTTTACAGTGCCATTCCTACTCACACTGTGTGTGTTGTTCGCTTTTTCTACATATATTCTCATGTTTCCTTTGGATCCTATATTGAAGTTTTTTGCAGTAAGTTGTGGATTTCTTTTTATCTTTTCTTTTTAAGAATAGTGACTTTCTAAAAAGAAAAACACAAAAAAAAAACTGTGGAAGGAGTCGTTAAACATACTGGAGACATTTCAGCTATAGTCAGCTTGTTAGAATTTAAGCATTTGTTGAATACTGACATGGATATATATGTATATACTTTTTTTTTTATATATAGATTATGCCACTAGGGGAGAGGACAGTAGAGTTCCGCTCCATTCTCCTTGCTCTCTCTGTTGGTTTTATATTTGTTGCTTGTCTTGTAGAGGTAAGAATAAAAAAAAAATTTGAGAAAATAAGTTTGAAGTGAAACACAATAGAATAGTGTTTCATTTGGTCTCAGGTTTTATTTTTCTTTCATCAAATTTTATGCTAGGTTTTAAAAAAAGGGGGAAAAACTAAATGTCAAATTTTATGCTAGGTTTTAAAAAAAGGGGAAAAAACTAAATGTTATAGTATAAAGTTTAACATTTTTGAAGTTAATCCATGCAAAATAATAAATATAAGAAAAGTAATGTTCATACTGTATATTGTATCTTTGTTTTCTTTTCTAATATATACACTTTAAGATGTAAAGTGCAAGAACATTATTTTTTAGTACTTAATAATGGATGTGAAGTGTACACAGATGTGTCTCGATTCTTGTTCACACTGCTGTGATAAAGGAGACGAGAAGAAGGACCACTTCAGAAAAATTCAAAATGAAATACAGCTCAGTAATTGGCCACCTGTGGGTCATGTGACTTATGCTGCCTTGAATGAGCCTCATGTTCAAATAGAAGAGGAGTTCATGAGATCTCAGGGTGAAATACTAGTGAATTGATGCAGGACATTTGTAGGAATAAAATTAAAACATGAAATGCAGGTTAATGATCTACACAAGATGTTTGAAGTCTTCCAGTAAATGCCATTATCCTTTCGTACCTAGGTGCTGTTGTTAATTATTTTTATGAGTAGGCATAACCTACACAACTTGTCATTGTTTCCATATCCTTTATCTGTAAGAGGATACAATACTCTAAAAACGTTCTTTATTTATTTGTTCATCTAGCTTTATGTTTTATTAGAGTATTTTTTTCATATCTGCCTTCTAGTATAGGCTGGATAAATATATACATGTAGAGGGATATACTAGTACATATATTTTCATTATAGAATAAATTTTTAATGAAAAAAAAATGAATGATGGGTTCCTTTATTAAAATTGCAATACATGTATTTTATTTAATTTTTTTTCTTTTTTTTTTTTTTTTGGTTATTTTTTAAATAATGAGCATGATTTTTTTTGGACACAAATCTCTATTCAGTTTGTAAATTATAGTATTTCTAAATACATGTATCTAGAAAATATCTGTTTATTTATAAAGAATGATGTAACACAGACACAAGGTTTGGCATATGAAAATCCTGTAGTTTCCCTGTAAAAAAAGTCAGAATCTATTAAAACATCACTGAGCTTTTTCTGAAGACAGAGTGATAAAAGCGAGACTTTTTGCACCACTTTTAATGGAGTACACATTCTAGGAACTTACTGTTAATAACTATTTTGTTGCATTTTGAAATTCCCAATGTGAAATACACCTTCTAATAGAACATACATGTGCATACTTATTTCGCTACAGTATATACATACATGTACACTACCTATCTTTTATTTTTTAAAAAATTTTTTCCCTAGAGGGGTTTTTTGTTTGTTTTTATAATGAAAGTATCTCTCCAAGATGTGGTACATAAGATTAACATAAATAATTAACATAATTTCTCTGGACAGATATTTCCAGTTGATTAGATGGATCCAGCATTTTAAGATTTTAATAAATGGGGGAGGGTGGGGAGAAATATGATTATGAGGTTGTGTCACATTTATCTTTAAATGCTTAAGGTAATAAATAGCACTCTCAGTTTATTATTTATGAAATCACATTGTTTATGAATGTAGAAAAGTCAGTCCATCAAATCAGAGCTATTTTTATCTTTATGGACGGTGAAAACTGTCTGATAAAGCACCTGCTGGTTTACTAGTACAGTATTGATATTGTTCTGTGAAAAATTTTGAGTCAGCATTAGTCCATAGCATATTCTATGTCATAGTAGAATCGTTATAACATTTCTTAGTCAGTCTTTGAACAAATATACAACAGTTTTAGTATATCTTATGATTTGTCACAGAATGCTTGTATTTACTGATTTAAAATCACCAGGTTTTCATGAATATTCTACTTTGAAGTTTTTGTTGACAAGTCATGATATCATGTTCATGTATTATGTGAGGATGCTACAGAACTGTAGTTTTTCAAAACAATTTATGTTGGCAGACCATCTGTCAACATGAATTTGTTGGAGAGCTGAAGTTCTGCAGCTGATGCAGTGTATGATATGAGTATGTCATATTGGATATACATGCATTTTTAGCTCAACTGAGCTGAAAGCTCAAAGTGAGTTTTCTGATCACCTGTTGTCCGTCATCCGTCCATTCGTCTGTAAACTTTTCACATTTTCAACTTCTCAAGAACCACTGGGCCATTTTTAACCAAAGTAGGTACAAAGCATCCTTGGGTGATGGGGATTTTGAATTGTTTAATTGAAGGGCCAAGCCCTCTTACAAGGGGAGACAATCAAGAAAAGACAAAAATAGGGTGGGGTAATTAAAAAATCTTCTTCTCAAGAACCAGTGGGCCAGAAAAGCTGAAACTTATGTGGAAGCATCCCGGGATAGTGTTGATTCTAATTTGTTCAAGTCATGTCCCCCGGGCTTTGGCAGGGCCACAATAGGTATTTCAGGGGGGAAAATCTGGTGAAGAACAGCAGGGCCAAAGATACTCAGGTGAGCATTGTGGCCCATGAGCCTTTTGTTTATGTATTACGAGGGGAAAATTCACAACAGGAATTTTCATTTATAGTCAGTACCCATGGTAATTGGTGTTGTCCACTTTGTAGATGGGAAACTATTAGTACACAATAATACTCTACAAGTTTCATGTATTGTCTGTGTCAGTGGATGCTTTATTTAATCTGAACATTCTCGGTGCTTTACATGATTTTTTTTTTAATGTTTGTACATGTGTTTCAAGTGTTTTAAGAAGTACATCTTCATACTGTTTCATGTTAATTAGAACAACTGCTTTTCATTTGGTAAAACAAATCTATGTACTGGTACCAGTAATTTTATGTTTACTTATGTAGCCAAATTTTGAAGGAGTAAAAACCATCAATATCGGTTCAAAATATGTTGATTTTGATGTTAAATTACATAATGTGAAAAATTTAATGTCAGCTGTGATATGTACAAGGCATTCTGAACAGAACAAACCACTATAGTTATTTATTGTGGACAATTATGGTTATTTAATTGAGGGATTTATGTGTGCAAGACACATTGTACTGTTGTCAGTATATTTATTATGTTATTATATAGCACATTGCGAAAGTAAACTTACAAGTGTTTTTTTAGTTTTGTTGAGTTGTCTATGATTAAAATATTTACATGGATACCAGAGATAATCACCACCATTTGAGCAGTATATTATTTTTTAAAAATGTCCTGTTAGGTTTTTTTTTCAACATCTTTAAAAGTTAATTCGAATCCATACCATTACATGTGTATCTTAATTAATAACACATTGCATTGTGTTAAACATTTATTTTTAAAAAAATACAATTTTTAAAATCTGATTAATGGGTGTTTGATATGAAATAGATAATATAAAAAAATTGTAACATACATTTATGAACATAAACATGGAAAAAAAAATGAATATTGAACAATGAGACCATTCAAAACAAACAAACAAATTGATATGTTATCTGTTATATGAATTTTATCAACACTTTTTACAGAAACATGTGTTTCTTTCATACTATGCAAGGATCACAACACTTTAAGGAAAGTCAATACATAAGAAAATAATATTTTATTCACCAAAGAAATTGGGACTACAGGTGCTTTTTTCATATTTAGTTAACTTCATACATTACATTAAGAAGATATCTGCAGGCAATCAATTTTAAAATTGCCAGCTGATTCATGATGAGACTTTAGGAGCATAATAATTTAAAATAATTTGAAAAACATCGTTGCAAAGCCGTGGGTTTTGTGTCCATCCTGGTTTGTGGAAATAGAGCGGACACAAAAACCTGTGGCTTTCTAGGTTGTTTGAATAATAGATATAATTCTTTCAGAACTAATGGCCAGATACATGTAATTATGTCTAAAATCATGTATACCAAGTTTAAAAAGTCAGTTTTTGCTGATTATGAATATACCTGCTATATTTTCCTAAAGATAGTGTCCAATTTAACTACATTGTATATACCTTATAGTTAACATGGTTGGACCAGATATACATATTCATTGAGTATTATCCAAACAACCTATATGTATACAAAAGAGTATATTGTCCCTTGTTTTGATCTTCAAGTACTTTAGGAAAATTTACATTAATTGGAAGTGAATGAATTTTCCACAATATGCTAGCACAGATAATTTTGGCATGCAGCCATTATAAGGGATTTCACTGATACATGAATCCAGTAGACACTGCCCTCCATTACATGTGACCTGGGTTGTCCACTCCAAATTTTCCTTCCTTCTGTGATGGTGAGAGGGCATATTTGTCACTGCCATCATTTGGTCCCCATTGGTCATTTGGTGAAGTGATGATGCGTATCCGCTAAAATAAGAATTGCAATTAAATGATAATATTAAAATTCTTTGAACAAAGAGTTTTCAAGCATCATTCATCAAAGATCAAATTCAGGTAACCCCCCCCCCATTTTATTTCTTGAGTACTATCCAATTTTATAATTTTCGATATACAGAAATTTCCGTACATATTGTCGTTTTATTTCCCTTAGTTATTTATTTAGATTATTTATTTACATGTATTTATTGGAAGAACATGGAAGAGTACACATACTGAGTAAATCTGAGTTACCTCTATGAATGATCCACCAGTACTAATGAGTTTGTAGATAAAGAAGATAGGAATAGGACTCATAACAAAAGATGTGAGGATCCAGCCAATGGTCTGGGCATACTGAGGGTACTCTACCCCTTCACTGATCTCCAGAGGTTTATACTCAACCATACGGTAGATAAACAGCAACTGTAATACAAAGTCTTGGTCAAGAAACTATACTCTTTGATTTAGCCAAACATACGATCACCAAGTTAAATTATTAAATGAGTGATGAACAGATTTAGTATAAATTTATCTACACAAATAAACTGTAAGAAACAAAAATGTTTGACTATATTAATGAAGAGTTCCTTTTTTATCACAGTTTTGCAGGAAATAAAAATGGAAACAATGACATTATGATTCCTGCTACTTACAGAAATTAAAATAGGAGCACAGATGATCCAGCAGAAGAGCCAGTAAAACTTAGGAGTGGGAGAGTGACCCAACATATACTCTATGTCACGGAGGAAGCGAGGGGCACCTGTCAAAGAGTGATAAGACTAAGATCTGCAATACAAGTGGTGAGAGTCACCATTATATATATATACATTTACCATTATCATTGGAACATTAAGCAGGGGTTTCCATGTATAATTTTAAAGACAGTTGAGATAATTTAAGTCATTCATATTTTCAGCTTTGAATATTGATCCCCTGTAGTTCAGAAATAAGAAACTTGAAATGACTACAATCAAATTATATATTCAATAGTAAATTTTCTTTCTTTTTCAACACAAAAACATTTATCAAACATTTTATAATTTTACCATAGACCCACATAACAGCTACACCTTCACAAGCTGCTACAAAAAGGACAGAGAAATCAGCACCAAAATGGTCCATAATGGTTACTACGTAATCTCCTGCCTGCAAAATTAAGACAGGTATAATTCATTTAAAGATAGGCATAATAGAATTGAAGATACATATACATGTAGTACAAATACCAAGAATAAGAGATAAGTATACATGCATGATTTTAAGGTAGGTGCAATGAATTAACCAAGGTACAATTGATTTGTATATATACCTATCTTCAAATTCTTTGTCAAGATGTTTTAATTTTACCATCTTTAACTTAATTGTACCTATCTTTAAATCAATATATTGCCTATCTTCAGCTAATTTAAAAATAGGGATAATTTGAGAGAATCTATCTGTAATTGAATTAAGTTAGATGTAATTTATTTGATGCTATGTTCAATTATTTTAAGATCTGTACATGTATTAATTACTTTTAGACCTATCTATTTCCCATATACATGTATCTATCTTCAATTCATTTGGAGATAGACTCAATTATATTTGAAGATAGGTACAAAAATTTGAATATTTGTTAATTAAGTGTTCCATTCATCCCAACATCTTAGTGTACGTACTTACAGTTAGATCATGCTTACTGTGTAAAAAATAATTAAAAAGGACGTGTGTATGTGTACGTACCGGTGTCACACTTGGCAGGGCCAAGAAAAAGCAGATGATACCCATTCCTACACACATGTAACTCTTGTATTTACGTGTAGATGGGAACTCATCTTGGATGCAAGTTAAAAAGGTTTCTAGCAGTGCAAACTACAATAAAAGAAAGATATATTTAGAACATTTTCAAAAATTTCATTTTTTAATATTTTCTTATACTTGAACTATTACCTGTGTTATGTATTTCATTTGATACATTGTAAGTATTTTACCTCACTGTCCAGTCCTAGTGTAAACAACATAAAGAAAAAGAGGACAGACCACAGCTGTGATATAGGAAGTTGTGATAAGGCTTCTGGATACGCCACAAAAGCAAGTCCATAACCTGCATAATGTGTTGAAAAAATTTAGTGAGAATTAAATCATCTTTAAACATTGAGGTAATTCATTAATAACATGTCTATCAAGATTCATGATGCCTATATTTAGCTTGGTGTGAAGTTAACAGGATGAGTATACATGCATGCATTGCCTTCATTCTGCTGCCCTTCAGTATTGCTTTACTTACCAGATTTAGCAACATCTTCAACATCTACACCAATTTTTTTCGCCATTCCACCAAATGTGGTAAAGATGACAAAACCAGCGATAAGACTCGTCACTACATCCATAACAGCAATCAACATGGCATCCCTACAAGTCGAAAAAAATAAAAAGGTTTCATTTCATTGAAGTGAACATAATTTTTTAAGGATATTTTTTATATTGTTATCTTATTATAAATGGCTTACTGACTTTAAAAAAGTCTTTATTTACCCATAGACATTGTTTTTGAATTTGTTGTAGCTACCAAACATGATGATGCCTCCAAAGGACACACTTAAAGAGAAAAACATCTGACCAGCAGCAGCCACCCATACCTACAGAAAAAAAAATAGCACCACTGATGAGCGGCTTACTGCACATAAAGCAAAGATTTTGAAAAGGTAGAATATTATAGACTGTAATTTGTTGCGTGTAAATATCTATAGAGGGTCAATGAAAATTGTTTTCTCTCAAACAAGTTTCAAAGACATGTAAAATTCAGAAATACTTTCCTTTTATCATGAAATTAAAAAAAGGATGATCATTTATTTAATCAAAGAAAGCAAAGACCTAAGTGATTATTAAATTAATTTTGTCTGTTCAGGAATTTAAAATATAAACAAGCAATGAATGTTACTTACCTTTAGATCTAGAAGTTTCTCCCATTTTGGAATAATGAAAAATTTAACTCCGTCAATAGCGCCATCTAGTGTCGCCCCACGTACCAGAAGGATGAGCAGTATGACGTACGGGAATGTTGCCGTAAAATATACAACCTGTAAAAGAAATTCCTCTTTCAGAATGTTTAAAATATAGATTGCAAATATTACCAAAACCAGTCTTCTAATTAAGCCCTGAGGACATCAAATGCTGTAAAATGTATGTAAGAAGTTTTCTTGTAATGCATAAATTTATACCCAAAATGGATGGACTAACCTTTCCAGATGATTTGACCCCTTTGATGAGACAGCAGACGACAATAATCCATGAAAGCAGAAGACAGAGTGCCAGGCGCCACAGGGGGGCACCCATCTCATCTGCTGCAATGGTTGGCGTCTTCTCAATCACGTCCTTGCTAAGAGTAAAATGAAATATGTAAATGTTTTTGAATGCTTATAAACTAATGTCTATACATAGATGTTGGTGAAATTTTGTTTTAAGATTTATCTGAAAACCTGACTTTTATGTTTCCATCTCTCTTTTTATTTTTCATCAAAATACCTGGGTAATGAAGACTGTCTCCAACATTTCTTTACAAATTGAATATGCTAGCATTGCTTAGAATTCTTTTTATTGAAATAAGCTTAGCAAGTTACTCGTTATTTACTCAAAGAAAAGTTGGGCCACAGCAACAGGTTTGTCCCCTTTCCACTTAGTTGTGGTACAGTTGAAGTCACTTTGAGCAAAGTAGCTGGATTGATGATAAGTGGAATTTTCATAACAGCGACAGGTCTTATTCTTGTTAATATACAGCTCCTCATTCACAGACATGTTAAACGAGCAATAGGGAATATTCCTTGTTGTCTGTTCTACACATCCCAAAGCATACCACTCCTAGATAAGGTTAACAATATGCTCATCAAGGAATTTTACATTTAAAATACATCCATGAATTTACGTTGCATGTAAATGTTTATATCTATTTTTTTTAAACATAGTACAATAATTATTGATTTCTAAATATGTATGTATATAAATACTTTATATGACCATATTTTCAGAAATTTTTCCTTGTAACCCTTCTGATATAGAGAAAAATTCCCAACATCATTGACATTGCCAATGAACACCAGTATATATATATTTATACTTGTGATTGTATAACATGGCTGTTTAAACAATATAAAAGTATGGAAGAGTATATCTTACTGGTTTACACTGTGTCCATGGAAGAGTTTCCTGCATGGATGAGAAGAAATAAAACAGGGTGTAGGCCATGATGACATTATAGTAGATTGCCACTACTACAGAAATCAGGGCCATGGATATACCAATACCTGTAATATAAATGTAAGGATTTACTGATAAAGAGGGATTGCAGAGTATTCTGACAGAATGTGCCTTAAGGTGTGGTCTCAGATGGAGCAGGAAAGACAGACATAAAGAATTACTGATTGGTGTCTAAGACAGACATAAGGAATTACTGATTAATGTCTAAGACAGACATGAGGATTTACTGATTAGTGTCTAAGACAGACATAAGGAATTACTGATTAGTGTCTAAGACAGACATGAGGAATAACCGATAAGTGTCTAAGAAAGACATGAGGATTAAATGATAGTGTCTGAGACATACACAAGGATTTACTGATAGTGTTTAAGACAGACATGAGGATTTAATTAAAATAAAAAGCCTCATAGACATACAGTAGAGTTTACTGATAAGCAATGCCTCAAGGAGAAATGTGAAGATTTACTTATAAACATGAAAGGTCCCAAAAGAGAGAAGCAAACAATGCCTCAAAGACAAAAACTCTTTTACTCTTTAGCAGAAAACTACATCACCTATATACATGTATATTATATACATGTATTAATTCATCTAGTACTATTCTTCTTAATTTATTTGGTTTCAGTTTTATTTAATTTTGAATTGAATTGTATTTTTCCCTGAATTTGTCTGAAAAAAACAACAACAATTTTTTAGATTGTAAATTTGAGTCTAGTAACAAAATGATTAAATCTGACCTTTGGAACAGGTGAATATTGATCAAATTTGAAGGTTTAATGGCAGCTTAAATTTGCAGTACAGTATCTGGTGATGATTATGCAGTTCCAAAGTACAATGTATTCAATTTATAATTTTTCAGAAGTTGATTACCCTTGGCACTTGGGTTCATATTCCACACAGCTGTAGGGCCTTTCCCTGAGAACTGACCCATGACCAGCTCCATGAAGTACATAGGTTTCCCAATCAGAAACTGTAGGATCAAGTAGGCAATCACAAAGGCAGCTGTAAGGAAAAACAAGTATGTTAAACACAAAGGAATTTAATATACAGAAATATAAATTACAGTGCAAGCTTGATTGTTTTAAGTTTGTTTTTTTAGGATATTAGGGATTACAGGTAATTTCTGACAATGTTTGAGTAAATGCCTCCAGTCATAATATTTCCAAAAAATGGAAAAAGACATTTCTGAATATGTCTATGTCTCTTTAAAAAAAATTAACAGGTGTGTATAAAAGATAAGATAAAAAGTTAGTGCTGTTTTTTTCTCTCCAATTAGTTTATACAAAAAAGCAAAGGCAAGTAGTAGTCTAGCATGACTGTGTTAGCCTTGAAAGCTCTCAAAGGATGTACAGATATGTAAATGATAAAGGTCATCATGTGAAAATGTTTGAAATGTATATAATCTGTCACTGAAATAATTAACTCTGAAATATAATGAGGTATTCATAGATGATGCACAACTGCATGCAGAGCCAGATTTAGGATATTTTCCGGGGGGGGGGGGGTATTCCACACTATATTTAAAAACAAAATCGGTCTTGGACATTTTATGACAAGCAAAAAAAAATCCAAATTAGTTGCCCATACTTGAAAAAGCTATTTCGTGGGGGAAAAGGGGGGGGGGGGCATGTCCCTTTCTTAAGTCAATTTAATTCATATATTGTACATGTGTATGACTCTCCTTACCATTTTTAGAGGGGTGTGTGCATTCTAGTGAGGAGGGGGGGGGGGTCCAAGGTAATTTTTTATTACTTTACATAGAAATTCAATAACTGAAAATCCCAGGGGAACCATACACCCTGACCCCCTCTAGATCTGCGCACGAACTGCTTTACTACCCTCCTCTTCACACACCCCCACCCACACACACACACACAAAATAGACGTCTAGTTTACAAAGTAGCGCATTAGAAAAATTAGATTGGAAAAGTAGCCCTGAAATATTTTGAAAAAAGTGTCATTGAAAATTATCAGCACAAAGAAAAAATATTTTAGGAAACACCCTCATTTTTTAGCAAATATATTTCTCTCTCTCTTTCATTTTCTAGCTAAAATTTATTTAGTCAAACTGCTTGATCATGAAATTAGAGCTGTCTTTCTGTCTATATCTTTATAAATTACTCTGATACTCTGTGTTTGTTCATGCATACTTCCATTGTTTTTACATTTATTTTATGAGTTGGGGGTATTAGGATTTTTCTGCAGTAAAACATATGCATCATTGCATTCACCGTGTTACACTTCAATTTTGAAAGATATTATCATCTAGAATTGTTTCTTATACTGAAATGTTAATAGCACTGAACAGGTGCTCTTGACAACTATAAATTTTATGAATAAAAATTATTGTGAAACAGATTTTAATATAATGCTGCGATAAACTACTGATATTTTTGTTGCCAAAAATCAAATTTGCATTGCACCATTCATAATACGGGCGCGAATGGCAACTATACTGATATAGGGCCTCACGATTTTTTTTCAGCTTCAGTACTTTTCTTTTTAAAGATTTACATGTAATTAACTGGTAAAACTTCAGAATTTCTAAAGGTTAAATTGAATGTAAGCTATAGAGAGACCGCCAACGGGTCATTGTTTGGTCTATTTACTTGGATATACTCGTAGATAGCATCAGTGGAGTCATGCATGTCCCTGTGAAATGTACCTGTTTAGGAGAAGATCCGCGATTTTTGTTAAGGGAATTCGCCCCCCCCCCCCCCCCCAAAAAAAAGAAAAAAACAAACAAAAGAAAACAATATATTAATTTTAAAAAAAAATAACAAACAGAAAAAATCTAACCCTTGTGGGTCGTCTTGTTATAATTGGAATAAGGTTTAGATAATTTTGCAATGGTTTAACACTTTAATCTTCAGAAATGGTTTGTTTTCAAATTTTCTTCCACGTGATATAATTTTGATTTATTTATCAATTCATTCTATTGTTATTTTATTTCTGGGTGTGGGGCAGGGATGGACGCCACTCAAATCCGCCAGTACAGGTGTTTAAAAGCCGTATCCGATAGGTATATTTAAGTGTATGCGAGGGCCTGTGGAAACGAGTATGATTAAATTATACAGATTTTTTCCTCTTTCAACTATAAAATTAAAATTTAATTTTAGAAAAAAAATGCAAAACTTTCCACTTTCGATAAGGTCAAAATTACTCATCCGTATCAGCTTCGAGCACATAAGTATATTTAGGAGAACGTGGTTTGAACTCCAGCACTTATCTTTTCAATTGCAAGTTTTAAAATCCTTAACCGTTAATATAAATCAATGTTAACAAACTTGTAACTGTTTCAGTGCAGTCTGTTAATATAAAGGATACTCATCTATATCGCTTTTGAATCATTGTGAAGAGGTTATAATTTTACTGTTGAGTCATTTAAACAACTGATTTGTAAAATAAATAGTTACTTAGTTCTTTTCAACTCCGCAACAAGTTGATTTTGTGTGTCATGCTCTAGTAATTGCTAAATCTTATTCTCTAAGGCGGTACCTTCACGTTCACAATATTTCATTACCAAAGTTGATTCCGGGATCATTTATTTAAAATATTAACCTAATCTATTATAACAGGATATGTGGGTTCAACAAAGATAATAAGAAAAAATCGGTTATCGCGTTCTGTTGTGCTTTACATTTTTTCACCAAAAAGGGGTAACTTTTTGTCTCAAAGTACAGACAAAGCAAAACAACAACAAACAAGTAGTCCATGTGATGAAATCATACCTCCGCCATTATCGTAGGCCAGATAGGGAAATCTCCAGACATTACCCAGCCCAACAGACAAACCGATACACGACAAAATAAACTCCCATTTGGAGCCCCACTGCCCACGATCCTCCTCCTCCTCATAAATGTCGAGTGTGTTCGAGCTGCCATTCGTGTTCACCACGGGGCCACTTCCGTCGGAATAGGAACCCTGAAGTGTAATAATGAAAAATATGAAAGTATTTTGATTTCATTTCATTTAGGATTATCAATAATTAAGTTTTTCTTTGTATATACCTTATAGATGAGTTTTAAGAATACCATTTGTACTTTAGAATGATTAGTATTACATAAATGTGTAAATTTCCCCCGGTTTAGAATACGTGTACAAAGACGTCAAGTTGAAAAGAGCACCAAATTTCAACCTTTTTGATTTCAAGTGATTTTTTGTGCAAGATATCAGATGATAATTGATATTTAAACAATAATTCAAATCAGATATTATTCACTATAGTCTGGATTAGACAGAAGTTTTTTTTCTACCCTCTCTGGTTTTGTTTTCTATTAGGCTCTCCATGATCATCCCACCCCCCACCCCCCTTCTTCTCAAGCGCCCCTTTTTATTTTTGAACAAGCAAGGAGAGTAATTTTCTCCCCATGGCATAAATAAACATAAATTCGGGTACAAAAGTGATATCCTGAGCCCGTTAGACTTTGAAGAATTCATATTCACGCAATGTAGACAAATTACAATCTTCTCAAAGTGTGAAAAAAGGATAAACTAATCAGTTCCAGTATCATGCGAAGTCAAAAACAAGTGCAATATTTGTTTTTGAAAAACAACATTAAAATATAGTCATTTTATAGTAGGAAAAGTCATTTAGGTGTGAAAAAATCTACCTAGGCAAATATGTTCTGTATGCAAGTCTAATTTACATAGATAAATGTATATTTCAACTTCAATTACCTACCTTATTTTTTCACTCATGAATTTTCAATTTTGAATTCTAGATATCATGTTAGTTTTTCCACTTAAGGAGCCAGTTTTAAAGCCTTGTTTTAATAATTACCATTTCGGAAGAAAGAGAAATATATTTATTCACTTGGTTTTTGTGACCCTATATAGTCACAAGAAGACCGGTTGTAATCGATAGTATATACGTCAACAGTGCAGACAGACGGACAATTGTCTCCAAATTATCTAAATAGCTGAGCTTCCGGTTTATCTCGACTGAGATTCGGATATTTGGAACACCTCCCTGTACTTTTCACCTCGCGTGATTGAGCGGGAGTCAACAACCCTTTCGCAGTACAGTTAAGGCTACACATGAAGATAATATGGTAATGAGGTCATAATGAGGTTTGACGTCATGACAGTTGCTCTGCCTTGATAGATCCATATAAGGAAATAGAGCTCAAAAAAGCTATTTAATGAAGATTGCGAGAATTTGTAATGAATATCTGTATTTTCAGGTTTAAATAAATAAACATTAGTGATTTTCTCTTATATAGTAACAACACGTCTTCGAAATAATTCTCTTTTTATTGTGTCGTTTGGCTGCATTCGGCTTCAGCCAAGCGCTTGCACTCGGTGACACGGAATGTTGTTTACATCTAAAAACGTGGCGACAGCAGCTGAGATATGCAGTGGATAAATGCAACAACCAGGCAATCTTTAAAGAGAATAGGGATAAAATAAGAGACCTGGGCCTTGTTTATCTTTTTGATGAGATGATGACGTTATTTCGGGAAATCATGGAAAACTGAGACGATCCGCACTACCTCCTTAGGTCCCTTTCTGTTCATTAAGGTGTGTATGTGCATAGGTATTACAATGTAGACATACTATTCTTTACATCGATGTCAGATAACCATGAACATGTACAATAAGATGAATTATTACAGTCCGTCACAAACTGCAATGCAGTGCCCCCCCCCCCCCTCACACACACACATACACAAAAACACACACATTATGAAAGTTGCACACTTTTGAACATGCAATGATGTTGTCCTTTGGCATACATGTACAAAAATGTAACATAATATAAGCACAGCACGTCATGATATCAAATAGTATAATTTAGATGCAGTCACACTTACAATGTATTTGTGAAGTCAAACTGCACAGTGTACACAATGTATGTGCACTGTACATACAAGAGTATAAGACCCTATAAATTTTAATTTATACAGGTCTCTGGCAATCAAAAATACATGTATGTGAATTTTAAGATTTCAGTTTTTACCAGTGCTTCATATTTTATATTCATCGTAGAACTTTTACTATCTGTATCACTAGGCTGTAAATTTGTAGAATTTCTACATTAATGAAGGTAAAATGTTTGAATTTTCATTTGTCTGACTACATGTGCATTAAGTCAGTCTTATATGTATTTATGTACTGTTTATATGTATAATTCTTTTGTCATTGTAGCTGTCACAGAACTGGTTAAAACTGGCATTTACATCAGCTAGAACTATCAAAATAGATGCATCAATTTCTCCACTGGGTATGATCACACTAAAGCATTTCACATTAATTTTATAGTATGCCAGTGTTAATTTTTTTTTAAATGTCGTATAGGTGAAAGAATTACATGTTATCTCTAGTATATTGATTTTTTTTTAAGTTTAGCTACCAATTCTACTTTTGCAAATGTCATAGGTTTCAATTTCCCAGAAAAGTTTTGTATCAAAAGTTTATTTCCATTTATTTTATGAATTTCAGAAAATATAGTATAGCATGGTTTGTTTTGTGCTATGTCATTTCATTCTACAATAGTAATCATTATGTTATTCACTCATTACATACAGTCATATATATTGTGTTGTAGCTACTCCCAAACAATTTGAACAATTCATTCAGGCAGCAAGTGTTTCCACCAATAAAATAAAAAGGTATGCTCCATATAAGCTATAAACCATACCTATTCCTAGCAAGATTATTGAAATGTTTTGATAATAAAAACAGTAGAGTCATGTATATGCTTTCCATGTTACTCAATGCATTGTTTTGAGTATCACTTTTTTAAAACACCAATTAACTTTCCATAATGGTATTTCATTTTGTTTTCAGAATTGATTTCATTCAGAAGAACTGTTTGAACTGTGGACTATTTTTTGCACCTGCTCAGAAATCCCTTTACAGCCTGCCTTTGAATTTGAAAAGCTGTTTTAATTAAATAAATTTTCTAGATAAATAATACTTTGAATTTTTAACAGTACAATGGTGTGAAAGTTTGAAGGCTGTTAAGATTTGAATATCTTTACTTGAATATATTCTGACAGGTGCGTAGCTGCCTATACGCAGATGTGTACACATCGTTTTCAAATTAAAAAAAATGGGATGGGGGGGGGGGGAGGGAGAGATTTGTGAGAAGAGAAAAAATATCAATACCATCCAGCAAATATTTGTGTTTCAAATTATTTTATCTCATACTGTTTCGATTCAAATTCAAATTTTATATTACCATGTCTTTATAAAAAGAATTGTAATGTTTTATTATTTAAATCATTGCCACAACCAAATAAAACATTTATTAATTTGTAATTATTCTACAACACATTGATAATTTTTTAAAAGATCTTTGAGAAAATATCAACCGTTGAATGCTGTGATCCACTAAAATATGATTTGAAATATAACATTATTTTTGTTAATAATTGAAATTAATTATATTTGTTGCTGAAAGTTAAAAAAGAGTAGATGATCCCAATATATCATTTTAAAAAATATTCAGCCTCTACATGTACAATAAATTTGCACGGAAGTATTTAACTGTGTTAAAAGCAATATTAAGTACTGTGTCTTGTATTTCTAAAGAAAATCGAAATGGCATGATTTTGAATGAAATATTTGGTAAAACCCATGAGCTTCCAGGGACTCGCCCATGGGTCCTCATCAGGGCTTCGCCCTGGACCAACTGGGGGTCTCAAAGGGGACCCCAGCCGTTCTCTGCGTACATTTCACTTCCATTCTGGCTACGCGCCTACATGTATCTGTGTTATGGGGTACCAACAAGATCTAAATTTCAGCATGTATATTGTGTTCACCTGTTCTTTAACAGAGTATATGTTTCTTGATTACAAAGTTTTACTTTGATTATCTTGTTTGCGCATGGATTGATAATAACTCAAAAAAAATGAGACTAAAGCCCCCTCTCCCCTCCCCAATGTGATTTGTGCTACAGTACCCAAATAAGTAAAACCTGGTGTAAACACTGTTTAATAATTTGTTTTTTACGTGCAAGTAAGGTATATGGTATCAAAGGAGCCAGAGGCAAACTGGTGACGGGGAGGGTGGGGGGGGGGGGTAGATCTGTAGAAAGGAAAACAGGTAATTAAATACAGGAGTAAGCTCCCCAATCCCTTCCTCCTGTTCTTAAAACTTTTAACGTAGTCTAGAATCCCTAAACAGTTGAAGGTTTGATATCTAAAATAATCACATATGTAAAAAAAAAACAAAAAAAAAACTAAGTTCTGTCGGAGATATTTTTTCTATGTGTCTGCTTGGGGAGAATAAATATTTTATCATTGATAGCGGCTGTCTATTCTTTATTACAAATGATTGAATCTTTCAATATTTTTTAACCATGGGATTTTCCAATTGATTTACATGATAGATGTTGCGGCAAATTTTAGACCTATTGTTGACGAACGGAGGAAATGCGGTAGGTGTCAAATACGTCTTGTGTAGAGTATAAAAAAAAGAAGATATACAAAATAAAGTAAAGTCAAGGATTTTTTTTTATGGATACCGATTTGATTTAATGAAATAAAGCCCAGCACAGTCCGTAAGTATTATTTGTTCAAAATTTGCGAGGTACACACACTCTATTAAGTACCACAGAGTTATCTCCCATGCTGGGTCAATGATGCGTTTGAAAACTATATTTAGAATGAATGTGTTAAGATTTCAATTTTTAATCAAAAAGTGCAAGGGCAAGGCGACAATCCAAGAGGTAGGTTTTTATTTTAAATTCTTTACTTTACTGTATAGTTTTTAAAAAGTGATGCTCATTTCTTTGTAATTTATTAGGTAATTTAAAATTTCCGATTAAATGATGAAAAATACCCTATTTTTGAATACTGGTGTCTGTTTTCAATGAATAACTTAAATATCTCAGAAATCTGACTGAATGAGCATCAGTTTTACGATAGAATAGATACTAAGGGACACAATGAAATATTGTGCAGTTCAAATATTGTTTGCCTTGCCCTTGCACTTTTTGGTTAAATTTGACATTTCATATTTTGACCTAAAATCGGAGCTCACGTGACTGTAGAGGGTCACATGATGACAAAAAATACCGATGTTAAAAGCGATGGACAAACTCTTCATAAAGCCATTAAGATATTTCAGATAGAGTTTCATGCTAAAAAATGAGACGGTTGAACTTTAAGTGTCTCGTTTTTGGTGCCTTTTCATAGAAAATGTTGCCTTAACTGTACTGCGTTCCCATTATTATTTTAAACACGAGGAATATTTTAAACAAATTCAAGAATCCGTGCTTGTTATTGGGTTTGGAGAAATATGAAACTGTACAAATAAAGAAAAAGTTTGGTTAAAGTATCTCCTGTGAAATAGGGGAATTTTCCCTTTCAAAAAATTTTAAATTCTATATATCAATTTATTATTGGATTTTTTAAAAGAAATATATAGCTGTTTAAACAAGATTGGTTAAGATTAAAGTAACTATATTCCTTCTGAAATATGAAACTTTCACTATCGAAAACTTTCATAGAGGAAATTTAAACTCTAGGGAAACATAGAATTAACAAAGAAAAGTTAAACTAACCTTTCCTTTTGGCATTTTTGGGTTTTTTTTTAGACACAATCCTTAAATGGAGTTATTCCTCTGTATATTTTACCGTCTTTTTCAATTTTTATCTGTCACCACTATGATCGGTATACGGACAACGTTTGGATCGTATTTGATGCTTTATTGCTCATAGCCCTGGGCTTGGGTTCTATTGACCTTACCGAACTGAACTTTGACCGTATTTATTCAACAGAGCGTGGCGATATTATTGAATATGACTTTCATTGATACGTAAGAATTAACCATTTGAATAACTTAATGAAATTTTGGGATAAGTTTCTTCTTTATTAATGCAACGTAGTACATTATTGTATATGTCACGTGATCTTGTTTTCTTGAATTTCAAGGAGGGAGAACTTCAAAGGACAAACAATAAATCCTCGTAATCAATGAATAGGGTAAATGATTTTTTTGATATCAGAATAAAGAAATTTTGTATTTCCGTGTGGGTCCACACCTACCAGGACGAGGTGGTATTACCTTTCAGTGGTCAATTAGTAGATACCCTACCCATCGTAGCATGAAGTGAAAATCAGGAATGCGGAGAAAACCTGGGCTTTGATACAGCGCTAGACCATTTAATTCAGCCATAAATCGGAATTTCGAGTGATAAGTTCTGCTTTAACTTTTGAAATCCTGTTTGATGGGCATAAAAGAAGAATCTCGTCGGGTATTAAATTGCGATCAACATTCACATTAAATTCAAATGGTGGGGGACAGGTATAAAACAGGCTGTGTGTACCGCGTGAGGATGGCATCTGTAATTAAGACAGTAACTTATTTCACCTGTTAATGTCTACTCAAGTTCCTAAGGTTACGTTACCTTTGCACGATCGAAATACATGTACCAAAAGTAATAGTGTACAAGGCCGTAACTAGACTCAAATTTTTAGTGAGGCAAGGGTTCGGGGAGGGGCACCCTAGTCCTAAGCTGGTCCAGGGTAGTGTCCTGACGGGAGTTCTCGGGGGGGGGGGGGGGGTGGTGAAACCTGGATAGTTGCAAATTAAAGACTAATTTTCTTTTTTACATCCGTTCTAAACTATAATGAAGCACCTGATTTACAGGAATTGAAACAGAAATTGAAACTTTTAATTTAGTAATTTTTTTCACTTCTCAGAAAACTATAAAATCTTAGTGAGGCATTTGCCTCACTTGCCTCTATGGTAGTTACGGCCTTGAGTGTGTTTATACAAAAAAAAGTTTTATTGTGCTTATCAACAAAAATGGGAAACTTTTACATACAAAAAAATACGTCTTCCTTTAACTTTCAAAACTGATGAAAAAAAAATAAATGTAATGAAACAGAAATGAATTGATGAATCACAAAATTAAATATTAAAAATAATGACTATGACATCTGAGACAGCTTTTTCTTGCTTAGTCACCTGTTTTATTTGTTTACTTATTGTATTTAAGGCACGATAGCAATATCCTATTTTTTTTCGTAATTTAATTGTGATAAACAAGATAGAATCTACATGACCCTACAGAATGAGATCATTACCCTATCCTCTTCTTTAGGATTGTAACTGACATCGACAATAATGATGATCCACATTCCATCAAATGTAAACAAAGCGTAAGACAGCTTACATTATTGTACAAAGTATATAAAATACCAATGTATGAACAAGAGGAAAGATCTTTTATTCTTTTACAAGCTGTAAAAAGTTTTGTACAAACATCACAAACTGCTTTCTAAACAGTTTTTATAGCGAAAGGGGTACATCAAAGAAATTGACTATATTATGATATTTTTTCTGCTTGTTTTGTACAAGTATTGTATAATAATATTCTTTCATTACTCAAGACATACATCTTATGGCACTCTATTAAGCAAATATACAAAAATACAATAGTGTTCTCACTAGTCCCAACTAAGGATTTATTTGTTAATTCAGTTAATTTCTCTCATTTTTACAGTGATGGATCAAGGCTATCCACTTAAAGAGAGCATTAAATGAAAATATATATTGACATGCCAAAAAAGGTGGGGTGGGGGTGGAACTACGTCTTATGTGCTTGAAAATTCGTATTAAAGATTGTTAACCTCTATTAGAAAAATAAAAAGTGTCTTTTGACTCTTCTAAAAACAAATCATGATTCCAGGCAAACAAAAATTGAGTCGACTTTTTGGAGGCGGGGAGGGGTGGGGTCTCATAAATTCTCCATTGTATTGTTTCAATGTCGAAAGAGAATCCCTTTTCTCATTTCTCTTCAGCCAATTTTAAAATTTGCTTTCTAAAGCTGCCGCAATCACTAGTACAATACTTATATGTGGTGCCGGTGTGAAAACGCGAAATCATTCTTTTCTAGTAAAAATTTTAATTAAAAACTTTTTTAAATTTTTGACACTTTCGGAATTATCAATGCCCATGGACATGATTTTCTCACGTACGATGTGTTAATACCCTTTGTGTTAGTGAGTTCAGCAGAGGCATTAATACCCCGGGTGTCACAAACAATTGACCGCGGGTAGGGCATTTTCACTCTCGTGCTGTCAAAGCTACATGTATAAAATGCCTTAATTAATCCAGCTCAATTTAAAGTCTATTTCATAAGTTTGAAAATATTATTTGACAATTGTTGACATGAACCGAAAGCGGTGTTGATATCAAAATAAATATTTCTTAAGGGAAAATGTTGCATTTATATTCTAAATTTACGGAAAATTTCAATCATTTTAAGTGTCCGTGTGAATGGAATTTTAATAAATCAGATGTATTAACAACGTGTAAACATGTCTTGGCATTAATGACTCACGATGAGCCGCGTTTATTGGCGTAGACAGCAGGATTCTTATATTACCTTATAATCCATCACAGTAAATCAAAGCAGTGATGGAAAACAATAAATATTAAATTGGTTCTAAAAATTCATTAGGAGAATATTACTTTTCCTCCTATTTTATGACAAAAAATATTGTTCAAGAAATCACCCGAATGAAGTCTGATGAAAAAACTTATAGTCAGCATTTTTTGTTCATCAGATGACAAATCTGTCAAACCTCGCTTTCGACATTTGTTGAAGTTTAATATGTTGACTCAAGCATGACAATTCTTTTCCCACACTCAGAAGAAATGTAACACACTTCAAAAAACAAAATATGCAGTGTATAATTTATACAGCCCCTTATCAGGGACCTATATACTAAGTTAGTATATAGGTCCCTGCCCTTATCCTTTTTGTAACATATTAACTCTCCCCCCCCCCCCCCCCCCCATACACACACACTTAAAAACGGAGATGTTAGGTGCCTTAGATATATGAAGAAATCGTGTAATCAAAAATATCACAATTTCTAAAACTCCATCATTTGACTTTCTCCTTCAAAGAGAAGAGAATAAAGCATTGCTCTTGCTATAAAGATATAAAAAATCAGACGGACTAGCGCCTGGTAGATGCAGATCTGCGAGTTTTATGAAATATACCTTTTCAAAAATTAGATTTAAAAATACTCTCAGTTGAAATTTCTGTAAATTGTATGTAAATAAAGTTTAAAAAGAAAAACTGTAGTTAAGACAATTGCAAGATATTATAATGTATAAAGTTTTAATTCATATGGGATAAACAGCGAAGAATATTTATTTTAGCAACTATAATTAAAAGGCGGTTATTCATTTTGTATGAAAATTAATTCTCACCTGAACCCCGTCGACGGGGGGTTTCTTTTTATCCCACAGATCATAATTACCCACTGTCATGTTGATAAATCCTTAGTAAAGAAAATCACTTTGTTAAAGCCTCTACAAGTTTGAATTTGAATAGGAAGTTAAAACTTTTTTATAACTTTAGAAAAGTGACACAACATTCAGGTGTTTACAAATCAGGTGCGTCACGCGTTGTCTCTCCTCGGGGAATGCACTGATGAGGCACCCCACGGCGGATTTGTATCGTCCACCGTCAAACGGTCCGAATCTGACACATGAACCTAATTGGTGCACCACTTAAACCGTAAACACGTAAATCACACTTTGTGTTAAATGGATCGTATTTTTTGCACATAGCATACTTTTCTTAGTTTAATAAATATTGAACTTCTATTTGCAATGATTTTCCCCATTAATGTCGCTGTGCATTTTTCAAACCAACAACTACTCTGCTTCTTACAATTACAAGTAAAATGGATTATCCATTCAAAGTTTTCGCCGAAAAAGAAAAGATTTTTTAAAGGTTTACAGATAAAGGTTTGTGTTATATATAATTGCCCCCGAAGAGCCCCTGAGCTGAGACAATGCGTTAAATAAGAGCGAAATTAATGAACGAATGTTCTTAATTTTAATATTCGACGTCATCATGCATTTCACCCCCGAACTCGGTTTTCCTGTATTCTGATGGTGGGCGTGTCTGCGCGTTTTAAACATTTTATTGGGGACAGAAGACATAAAACACTTGGAAGTTGTTTGTTTGTTTGCAACGCAATTAATTCCTTCAATGAAACATTCGATGTTTTAGAAGTATATACAAATAAGTAGAAAAAAAAACAAGCAGCTTTAAAGACTTGGAACTTAAAGTGAAATTAAAGTATATTTTATTCATTGTAAGTGTTCTGTAAAGAAAGAATCGGTTTCCTTTAATCATTTATTTTATCTCACCCAAATACAAGAAGAATCACCAATACAAATGGGGGAGGGGATAGTTTTAATGGGCAGGGGTTTGATGCACAAAGGAAATGATCTAAAAAGGAACACGTTTGTATGTTTTACAGAATTAGCAAATCTTCATATGTTGTCGAGAAAATAAATTTGATATCGAAATTATGAATAAACATGCAACAAGAATTGACATGTTAAATATTACTCTAATGATATATACTAGTATATATATATATATATATATATATATATTTATATATATATATATATATATATATATATATATATATATATATATATATATATATATATATATATATATATATATATTTTCTGTTATATATATATGATATTCTGTCATAGGATATCAAAGTGACAGTGTCATAATGTGAAAGGATATCAAAGTGATATTCTGTCACAGTGTGAAAGGATATCAAAGTAAGTAAAAAAAAAAAATTCTGGCCTGTCATAAGATATAGTAACTAAACCATCTTGAAAGAGACTAAAACTGCCAATTTCTCCCAATTACATGTATGTTGCTAAAGTCCATGTTACAATGCTTTTGATATCACATTTACTTAAGCTATGACGTCTCAGCCGCTCAACTATGAAGTCACAGCCTATGAACTGTGTTAAAAAAAGACAGATCCAACTACAAAACAATAATTTTCCTCTCTCTCTCTCTCTCTCTCTCTCTCTGACTTCTTCCCAAAAGAAACGTGCTCAAATGTATTGTATTCTTAAAAAGTCACATATTACTGGCGCACTATGCTTAAAATTCAAGGACGCTTGGCCAATGGCCCATTGGCTGATTTTGCCTATCAGTAGTTTGTATCTGCAACAATAAAGAATTTCTTTATGTGGATTTAAAGCGGTATTTATGAGTAAGCTACTGACATTTTAATGAAGTATTTGTTGGAGTCTTTTTAAAAAAGTTTATTTTAGATTTTATATATTAGATTTTCTGAAAGCCACTTTTTTTTATCAATTAGTATTATAAACGCAGGTTAGAACCAGTTTTCACAGGCTCGTAGCCCCCCCCCTTTTTTTCCAGTATAGTATTTTGCTATGGTAAATTTTCCTTTAGATGCTGGTTGCCCCCCCCCCCCCCCACACTTTTGATGTTGTAAGGTCTAGTACTGGCAAATTCCAGGATCTGCATGGACAGTAAATTTTCTTTTTTTTTGGGGGGGGGGGGCTTGTCAGATAAATTTGGGAAGCTGCCCCCCCCCCTTTGGTAAGTTTAGTTTTTTTTTTCCTTGTAAGATTTTTTGGGGAATTTGCCTCCCCCCACTTTTGAAACCATTGCTACGGGCCTGTTTCAAGCCGCCTGTATAGATTCTTATGCGGTGTGCTTTTCATCAATGAAGCTTACATGTACACAATGACGTAAATAATATTAAATATTATAATACAATATTTAATGTACTTAAATCTACTTTATATGATTATTTACACAGACATAAATATAAACAATAAATTGTAAAATGTCTCTTTTTGTTCGTTAGTACAGGAATAAACGGTTGCAGCTTTTGCAGAAAAAAAATACAAAACCCGCTTACGCGGGTTATGTGTATTTTTTTCTGCAACAGCTTCAACGTTAATTCTCGTACTAAAAAACAAAGAAAGCATTTTATTGTTTATTAAACAAATGTGCCTCATGTAAATTTCTTATATTTACGTGAAATTTGTGGAAAAAGGCATGAAATGAGAATTACCAAGATGTTTTCTTTCTTTATACTCCTGCATGGACATGTAGCAGGCAATTTGTTTGCTAAAATATAATAGGAAATAAGCTAAGTCTATACATGTGTTTCAAAATCATGAAATTGTGATAGTCAAAGACAAATTGACTGCAGGGCTCAGGCCTATATATAATTATGTACCCAAAACGTGTTAATTGGAACAAAAAGTATGAAAATTGGAAACATTTCTTTTTGCTTGCATAGACTAGAGAGGTTTTAACAGAAAGTCGGTGTTTTTGCATTTTTTCTTCAATAAAGTGTTCTCCTATTTTAAAAATATTGCACCGGGCTGCCCCCTCCCCCCCCCCCCCTTTTTTTTTTTTTTTTTTTTTTTTTTTTTTTTTGAAATTTAGATATTTACATATATATCTTTGTTATTCTGCCTTGGTTTAAGATCCTCTGAACATTTGGATAGATCTCCCCAATTGTATTTGGCACGATTTTAGATTTCTAGATTCCGGGCTTTTTGTACTGCCTTTCTTTTTCTGCAATTCTTGAAGTCATTTTGAATGCTCGATTTGCACCTCTATCTTCTTTAATATTTTACTTTACCAGAACATAAAAAATTATGTAATCTAGGCCGGTTCCTTTTGACGTGTTACTTTAAGTGCAATTTTATTTTATACAACATCTGAACACTTCATTCAAAACATTGCAGTATGAGTGACATTTCCATTGTGAGTATGACGAGATACTGAGGTTATCGCTCTTTGTACTTCTTTTGAACTACCATATCGGAAAAGAATGAAAAAAAAATGCTACCTTTTGAAAGCGTTGTTTAGACACCTTGCTCATTTTCAGATGGTATATCTAGATTCTAGAATTCTTCTCATTTCAATGATAGATTATTGCCATTTGTCAAGAAAAAGCAAAGCAAAATCTTCAAAGATGTTTACATGTTTTGATTATAAAGCTCAATGTTTACTCATGCAGGAGAGAAAACATAACGGTTGGGTCAATAAGAAAAGTGGAGACTTCAGCTTTTGAACAATTAAAAACAACAAAATAACCCTTGCCTTTGCATTTAGCATCGTTTTATTATTTACATTGCATAATAGGGATTAGGAAGTTTTCTTTGAAGTATGATATCGTGTAATCACTGCAGTAAGTTAATCCTAACGTTCGTCAGAGAATATATATAATAAGATTTAGGGTCTTAATGTAAAAAAAAAAATTCCTCAATTTTTTTTTAACTGGGAAGGCTAAAAGGTTTAGATTGTCGATTACCATAGTTTTCCAAATTATACATAATTATGTAGTTTGAACATGGTATTTTCGTTCTACTTGTATTGCTGGTATGCCTCTTGATTAGAATCAGATGAAATACATGAAGAAAGCATTCTGGAATTGTAGAATTATAGTACAAAATGTCTCCAATGTATGATTTTACAAGGCGCTTGCATTCCAAATACACAAAATAATTTTGCGATTTGTGCTTTGAAATAACATGAAAAAGTTTCCGTGTTATTTATTCTTCGGAATACTAAGCCTGATTTCAAATACTTTAAGGATATCTGCATTTTGTAGGAGAAGTTTGTAATGCCTATTAATCAGGAAATCACTATCTAATCCTTGATATTAATCTTCAATGGTCTCTTACAGAGCTGGTGGATTCGAAGTCAAGTGTATTATTCTGATGACCCAAAGGTGTCTTTATTCAAGGTAATATCTTACAGGACAAGGTCAAGAAATGAGATCTAGAAACTGTTTAATTTTCTATAATCCTTGATCAAAATGTATTCAATTCATTTATTGACAACACCATCATACATTGGCATAAAGTCATGAATACAACAAACAATAACACATAAAATCAATAATTCCAGTAAGCATATCAGTTATTTTGAAGTTTCTCTTTTCTAATATCAAAGCACTTTTTTCAGAAAGTTACATACTCTTCTAGCAATTTTAATACTAAAAATATATAGAGGATATTCAATGTTTTGTAGATGAATATGGAATTTATTTCGTGAGTGGGACAGGATTTTTTGATATTTTCACGAGTGCGAAGCACGAGTGAAAATATCAAAAAATCCTGTCTCACGAGTGAAATAAATTCCATATTCATCTACAAAACATTGAATTTTCTGTTTATTACATTTTCTTTGATGTTCGCTTTGCCTCTGTCTTTTCTTAACACAGAGTCATAGGCTTGACGTCATAGTTGAGCGGTTGAGACGTCATAGCTTAGAAGTTGTGTGTCAGATTGAAAACATTACATAGCATGGATTTTAGCAACATATTTAGGAAGAAATTTGCAGTTTTAGCTCTATCAAGATGCTTAGTTACTATCTCTATCTTATGACAGGCCAGAACTTACTTTGATATCCTTTCACACTGTGAGAGAATATCATTTTTGGTATCCTTTCACACTGTGAGAGAATATCACTTTTATTCAATAAATAAATCACAGTACTTCACTGTTGAAAATGTAATAAAAAAATGTATTCAATCCATATTATTTGTTCATCAATACGAAAGCCTATTAGGATCAAACAACGGTAAAAAAAAAAATTTAAAAGGCATAATAACGCCTTTTCAAAAGGCGTTACAACGCCTTTTGAAAAGGCGTTATAAC